TTTGTCAAGTGCCTCGCGTTCCGTTTCATTCAGTCCGTAGATTTTGTGAAACTTCGGGTGTGCTCCTTCTTTGAGCGGGATCTCGTGATCGTACGAGCTATGTTCAGGCAAGCCGGTTTCCAATTCTTCAGCAAAGAGTTTGGTGTACTTGCGGTATTGTTCTGGGATCGGAGAGAGGCGTTCTTCCTCTCGTTGATCGTTGATGAATTGTTCGAATTGTTCGTCCTTCGTGGGCTCGATTCTTTTGACGTATGCGACGTATCTGTGTCGCTTTGATTCACTCGGGGGTTGCGGCTTGCAACGCTGCCTCGCAGTCGAATCTCTCCATTGGAGTTGGCCTGTTCTCCAATCTATGCTCGGGTTGTGTTGTCGTAACCATGGGATTCCAAGGATGACATCCATGTCTCCTATTTGTGCTATGTCGAAGATCAGATGTTCTTGACGGTCATGGGTAACCATAGAGAGTTGCGCGGTTTCTCTGTCAATGGTGCCTCCACCGTACTCAACTGTTTCTCCTTCCACGTTTTGCAGGGTGTATGGTTCCTCCTTGAATCTCCATGTGATTCCTCGTTGATTCACCAGTCGTGGTGACATCAGGTTTGCTTGTGCTCCACTGTCAATTACGACCTGAGTGGGCTGTCCTTCGATGTAGACGCTCAGAACCAGGTGTGAGGCGTCTGTCGTCGTGGCGAGGTATAGGGACTTCCTCAGTGTCGCCTTCTGCTGTCCCTGTGCAGTTGGCGTCCCTAGTTTTTTGAGTAGTGTCGGTGGGCTTGCTTCCCCTTCATGTCCACCGGTTTTATCTCGGGGGGGTTTGTTCCCTAATCTGGGTTCTCCAGGTTTTGGCTTTGCCTACGTAATGCATCATACATTCGTCGTGCATGCATTTGGACCAGTGTTTGATCAGTCCGTTGTAGCACAGAACCGGGTGTTCCGGACTGGGTTGCATGTGTAACCAGCTCGCTTTGAATTCCTTGACTATCCATGTGCCGAGTTGGTGGTGGAGGTAGATCATGGGAATCGGCTGCTGCTTCCTTCGTCGAGGGAAGAAGTCGTTAAGTTCCTTGTCCTGGAGGTGGAACTGGCATTCGTCGTAGATGCAATCGGCCCAGAATACTTCGGTGTGGCGTGCGTGTTTTTGGTCGAGGTACTCGTGGTCTCCGAATATAGGTTCCTCTAGGACGGATACTACTGGTTTCCCGTCGATTCCGGTATCGTCTGTTCCATAGAACCAGACTTCTTGATCGTCCTCATTCTTTTCGTACTGTGGTCGGTACTCAGGGTAGTCCTTTTTGGTGGGCCAAGCCCTTTTGACCATCGGGTCGTCGCTGAAGTCGACATTCGCTTGCGCAGCTATTGGTTCGTCCGGGTCGTAATGAGTTGGGCTTTGGTTGGCCTCGTAGAGCTGTGCTTCCCTTTCACGGAAGACTTCTCGTCCAGGGTCCGATTCGTCAGAGGATTCTTCTTCTTCTGAGAATGGTGTGAATGTAATCGTCCTGGTTTTCTTCTCAATATCCTTGTAGGATGTCGATTGCGTAGAGGTTTGGCTTGATCTTCTGAGATCCATGAGTTGCTTGGCAGCCTTTCTTTCGAGCTTGCTCGAGGGTTCGAACTCATCAAGCGATTCCTCATGTTCTTCTTCAGAGCTTGTTTTCTCGCCAAGTACTTCAATCGACTCCTGGGGTGTGGGTTCCCTGAACCCGAGTTTTGGAGGAGAAAATCTGGGTCGTCGTGGTTGCTTCCGTCCCACGGCTACTATCTTAGTGGGCTTCCCAGGTTTGATGCTCCTTTCCTCCTTGAGAGCGTTCTCGAGGTCCTCCTCGAGTGCCCATTGTTTCTGGAAGTTCCCTTGGGCTTGTATGCGTAGTTGGAGTCGTTCCTCGATGACTTTCAGGGTGTCGGGCATACAGGGGTTGTCTTCCTTGCTTTGTGCAGCTTCCTTGGCTCGGATGAGCTTGGTGATTAGCTGTTGGTTTCGTTGCTCCAGTTGCTGAACCGTGGTTTGTTCTGGGTGGCCTCCTTTCTGGGTTCGTCGGGAGATTGCCACAGTTCTGGGTTTGGGCTGTTGTGGGTACCATCCGGCTTGCTCTTTCAGTTCTTGATGAACTAAACAGTTGTCGTCGAAGCAGGTGGTCCAGTTCCTTTGTTCGTGGGGAACTTCCCTTCTTGCTACGTTGGCTTTCCTAGTGCCTTCAGGTACGGGTCGGTTCTGGAGTCGCTTAGGTTGTTTGCAGTCTCTAGCTATGTGGCCGGGCTTCTCGCAGTTGTAGCATTTGAAGTCCTTCGGATCCCGGTGGTTCTGGTGAGGCTTCCTGGTTGCAGCACCAACGTCCATGGGTCCGCTGTGTTGCCCATAGGAGGTGCTCGGCTTACTGTGTTGTTGGTTGTTCTGCCAGTACGAGTTGGGTTGCGAGTTCCTAGGTCCCTGCGGCACATACTTTTTGCTGGTATTCGGCTGAGGGCGGCGTGCTTCTCCTTTTTCCTTTCGCCGTTCGTACAGCCTGGTATCGATTCTGACTGCGATTTCCACGTATTGTAGGAAGTCGTTGGGTCGGTCGAGCTTGGATAGCTCGTCTTTTACTTCTTCCTTAAGTCCTTGGTAGAACATGAAGATCTTGGTGTCGTCGGTGTAATCAAGTCGTGCGCAGATTCTTCGGAACTCTGCAGCGTAGTTGGTGGCTGACTTGGTTTGTTTGAGATTTGCCAAGTCTCGCTCGGCTTGTCGTTTCTCGTCTGGGTCCTGGAATAAGGATTTCAAGGCGTACTCGAATCCTGCGAAGCTCCCAAAGATTTGCTGGGTCTCTAGGTTGCAGTGCTCCAGCGTCTCACTGTCCAGGTAGTCTTCTAGGTAGGGTTCGAACCAAGAGAGGACTCGTCCTCTGAAGAAGGTGCCTGCATGGATGATTCTCTCCGTTTCCGTACGGAAGTTGCCAGAGTGAAACGTCTGGTAGGTCCTGACCTGTATCAAGAATCCTTTAAGCGTTCCAGGGGTCCCGTCGTAGGTGGTGGGGGAGTTGAGCTTGAGTTTTTCCCGCCCATCCACTGGGGTCGAGATGATGTTGGCAGCAGCTCGGAGAGTGCGAACTTCTTCCCTGAGATTGTTGGTTTGCTGGACCTCAGCCCGAAGTTGGTCAAGGAGTGCCGCGTTGTTGTTGAACATCTGTTGCATGTCCGCGATGTCCTTGTGGGCCTTCTTGAGTTGCTTGGCCATTTCAGCATTGTCGTCCTCGTCGCTAGAGGATTCGGCGCCCTTCATTTCCTGGTCCAAGCTCATGGGTTTAGGGGGTGCGACCGCCTTTCCCTTGGATCCGCTAGATGAAGTCGGGGTGGCTTTGGAGGACATCGTTACTGTTTGGTGAGTATCAAGGTCAACTTACTAAACAGGAGCAATCAAAGTGTTACGGTCAGATATCCGACAGTGGTGTTTTCTGCTAATAGGCAGCTGAGGTCGATACTCGGTAACAGTAAGGTAAGTCTTGTTGGTAATCTTGCTGGTCTGTTGGTGTCTGGTGATCAGTCAGGCACGTCTAGGCGTAGATAGCTTTATAGCTTCACAACAGAAGGATAATCTAAGAGTCACTTATGAGAGAGTGAATCACGAAGTTGATTGCTGAAGAGCTATGGAGAGTCTTTGAGCCCCAGGCTCAAGTCCTGTCTATATACTGATGTCTCCCTATCGTGATGCTGTTGATGGTGATCAACTAGAGTGGGTCCGGGGTGAGCTGCTCACTTGGTGATCGCTCCCAGTGATCACCTTATCTCTTGATCACTTTCTTATCATCACGTGATCTGTCCATAGTTCTTCCGTTCCGACCCTTGCCCGTAAGCGCCGTGATCATGCATACATGAGCCCGAATGTCCCCTGGTCCCTCGTGGGTTCGTTCCAGGTGGTTACGTTAACCAACGCTTTCCTGGGTCGTAACAACTATCTTACCCTTATATATCACAAGAGGATATAATACCAAGCCTTTAGCTAAAATGCACTCAATAATAGATACCCAGGCTCACAATCCAGGCTACTTTTTCTGCATAAACTTAGTCTCTGCCCTACCTAGCACCAGCCCATTTACTCCTTAACCCTCAAGGATACCAGTCTCATCCATGTTATATCTGTTAGCTAATTAGACAGCTAATATAGCTGGGATCACAAGATATCTGAACTAGTCCCTAATAACCTCAGTAGATACCCTATTAACACGTCTAGAATCAATAGATCAACTTCTCTAGACCTTAATAAATAAGTTTCTTCGTATAAAGGCATTCACCCATCTCTTCCCTAGAGGCTAAGTATCTCCTATCGCATTCAGGATACGCTAAGCAAATTCTCTAACTTGCTGATGTGTTGGCGCAAGCCCAAGATCAGCCTGGATCTGCACCCAGCTGGCCAGCTTAGCTTCTTGACTAACAGAGAGTCTCTGGAAGTCAGAAAAAGCTGCTGCCCTAGACTGCGCGCCAGTTAGATGGCGTTGAAGGGTGGTGTATGGGATCCCATAGGTCTGGGCTGCTTTGCGCACGCTGATACTGCTGGCAACAGCTTCCTGCGCCTGGATAACTTCATGCTCTGTATACTGGGTCATAAGGTCAAAAAAAAGATAAGGTGAAAAAAGGAGCTTATTTAGATGATAGTTGTAAAAGTTGCGATAGTTATAAATAGGAGGCTGGGAGCAGAGATGCGGCATTTTGTGTGATCCGGATGTGGGGGTGATCCGAAAGTGGGTATCCTGACTTATAAATCTGTGTTATCAACTGCAACATTAGTCATGATCAATCAAAGATATACACTCTTCCACATGCTAACAATCCACTGAAGCATCCATACTGCAGCTGTAATTCAGAATGACACCGCTAGTTACAAAGCACCGGGGCTGGGTGGTAGTCCACCTGAGTCCCATTGCTGTGGCTCTGCACCTACTACAAACTCAAGCAAACCTCCTTCGTAGTTGACTCCCAGGATATCCTCATGTGTGAAATAGCTCTTGTTCCACTTCTTGCCATTCACTTTAAGACTTTGGATGTAGGCCCTCTTCAAGCCCAATGGCGGTAATACACAATATGCCGCCTACCTCACCGAGCCGGATGCGGATATCCTCGAAGCGAGGGGACAGAACTAGGTCAGCCGGCTGAGTGACGACTGGGTAGAAGCCAAGCATGTTCCACACCAGCCAGCTGCTCATGCCTCCAGCATCATCGTTCCCGGGTATGCCACTCGCTCCGACGTGATAGTATTTGTCGACGACGAACGTACTTCGCATCACACTTTTCCACTGCTTGCGCCTGATGTAGTTGTAGAGAAATAGTGTCATGAAGCTGGGCTCATTTCCCGGATTATAAATCATGTTCCCAATGCCGTTATTCCCCTGATCTTGTTCTGCTAAACCAGGAACAAAGCTCATGTCAAATCGGCGCTCGAATGCGACGGGGCCACCCATTAGGAATATTAAAGTTGACATATCGTGAGGCACAGTAAAACTGTACTCCCATGGAGTTCCCTCTTATGAAACAGCCTGCCAATCGCATTCTTGGCACTCAAGTGGATTGTAACCCTCGAGCACCGAGCCTTTGGTATCTGACGGAGCAAGGAAGCCAGTGAAGTTTAAAGTCGCAGCATCCTTCATCCAGATCTTTTGCCATCCACTGTTCTTGTTAATATATATAAGGTCTTCGAAGAAAACAGTAAGTCTTACGTGGAACGATTCAGGTAAATTGTGACATCCTCGGGCGCTTCGTCTTTCGCAATTTTTGACACAGCAAAGTCGTTCAGAGAATATTCCACGGTCTTGCTCACACTTCTGCCGTAGTTGACAGAAATACGATCATACCTTTTCCAGTCATCCAAGGCACCTCTGCCTTCTTTGGTACTTCCAATCGGGTCATTGAAGTAAGAGTTGTGATAGGGTTGGATTTCGGCATTGGTGCGCACGGCAGCATAACCGTCAGTCCAATTGATGAAACCTTTCTTGTCGATCTTTTGGCGTAAGCGTCGGCGAGAACATTGTCAGAGTTGGATCCGTCTTGAACTCGACCGTTGTGGTTGTGGCTGCGACCTTCAGGCAAGAAACGCTCGTGTCGCCAAATGTCGATCATGGCTCGAACTGAGTGCTCTTAGAAAAAAGCAATAGTATGATTATTAGACGTGATTAGACTTACTCATATCGACTTGTTGGTTAGGCAGAATCAGAGACACAAGTGCATGTGTGCAGCGAAAAGTATCCCAAAAGGTACAAAAATCATCGTAATAGGGCTCGTCCGATGTCCAATGGGGGTTCTCACCAGTGCGATCGGGTGGCATTAGGTGTGCGTGATAAAGTCCAGTATAAAACATTTCTAGTTGAGTCGCGTTTCGGGTCTTGATGTCGATCTTCGAGAGCACTTCATCGTTCCACTAGGCCTTTGTCTCACTTACTGTTTTGGACGCCAAGATAGACACGTTTGAAGGGAAAGAAAACAGGCCTCCAAACCGGTTGGCGTATTGATAGCCCTCTACCCCCCGTGGATTGACGTACCGTAAATGAAGAATGGCTTGACATCTGTAACTTTTGGCCAATATGGGTCCGTATAGATCCCAGAAAAGAGGGCCGCATTATCAGGTACGCTGTCCGCAGAAGTACACCTTGAAATCACCACCTAAATATTTTAGTCATGACACATGTGTAGGAATTCCCGCAACTCACTCAAAGCCCAGCCTCCCCTGTAGTCACCGTATCCAGAGTACCAAGAGCCGTTGTGTCTGTGCTCTAGTCGACCCGTTGCTGTACCATTGAGATTCTATGCCACGAGTAGGCAGGTAATGACTTAGATCAGCCAGGACATGACGGCCCCCATCGGTAGGAAACTCGTACTTAATTATTGTGGTGTGCATATGAGCGCTCATCTCGGCCTTGACACCACTTTCAATTGATGTCTTGTAGTACCCAACCTCGGCAATATCATGCCCTACTCTCGGCTACATATAAGTTATGTTGTCTAACAGATTCATGCCCTCGAGCGATGTAAGAGGCATCTGGGAAATCGAACCATAAGTGGGCGCACCACCAGTTCCGCTGACATGCAGCATACAAATGGCGGTGACGTTTCCCTCCACAGTTTAACCTAAGTTTGCCTGGTAACGAGTGTCCCATCTCGTAGTATCAGTCCAACTTTTGCTGCCCCAAAAGGCACGGTTGCACCGGGGAAAAAATTGCCGCCTTGGTACGAAGATCCTGGTGTAGGGCCTTCGGTGCCTAGAAAAGGGTCAACGAATGGCGTATAATCTTTGGCCTGTGTAAGTGCGGAAAACCCGGCTAAGGCGGCGACGGATTTGAGGGTAAGCTTCTGAACCATTCCCATGATCTTAGACTTGGCTTGGGATAATGCGAAATCTGGCTCATCCTCTTTGAGGCGAACATACACTCTCTTATTTCTATTGGGTAGTCCCTCCTCCCGGGCAGTATTGACCCGAGACATCAGATTCAAATTTGTTGATCTACAACCTTCAAAGTTGCTTATATCCACTTTTCCCGCACAAGCCGAACGATATGGAGATCAACTACCGCAGACGATTCTTCAATTGGTGCAATGGTTGCGACGCCCAAAAATACTGCATCGAACTAACCTTGCAAGTCTATAGACAACAAGAATGTGGCTTAGTCGATGAGAACATGACAGAGGACCAAGTTTTGCAGTCGAGTGCACAAGCGGAACAGTCTGCATGTGCAGCAACTTCTCGCTCCGTTATAAAAAGATTTCAGAAGTTTCAGCAAACGGTACGTGAAAGCACTGCATCAGAACAAGGAGAACTGGCTATTATGAAATGGGTAAACCTTGTTCACTTTAACGTACAACCCTCGCTGAGAACCGAGTTGTGGAGCTAGTCTAAATAACCGATATTGTTGGAATAACAGCACCAGCTGGTTGTACGACACGCACGACTCAAGGACACACACCATGGCAGAGGGCACAGACTGGATATTCGGCCCTCGGTTATCTATTGAAGGGATCAAAGTATATTCATGCCGAACTGACTCAGAGACTTACGAGATCATATATCTTGTGTATGAAAAGCAAGTCTTGTAGTTAGGGAGATAATCACAGAAAATATATCTTTTTGTTGAATGGATTCTCTCTTCCTGAGAGAACCCGTTTGTACGATTGTACTCGGGTTAAAAGTTAGGGTGAACCAAAGATATATTTTCCGTGATTATCTTCCTAACTACAAGACTTGGCTTTCGTACACGAGATATATGATCTCGTACGTCCCTGAGTCAGTTCGGCATGAATATACTTTTGATCCCCTCAATGGATAACCGAGGGCCGAATATCCAGTCTGTGCCCTCTGCCATGATGTGTGTCCTTGAGTCGTGCATGTCGTACAACCAGCTAGTGCTGTTATTCCAACATCTTTGGTTCACCCCTAACTTTAACCCGAGTACGATCGTACACACGGGTTCTCTCAGGAAGTGAGAATCCATTCAACAAATATCCTTGTCTTCTTTCACTCCAAGAACTCAAGCAACCTATAACATTAGATCACACTTACTTAACAACCGAAAGTATATGTTAAGAGTCAGAATATCGTTCCGTTGAATCAATCGCCTGAGAAAGTCCGCGAGCTCAAACTTGATAGCGGTTCTGGATAGTCTTCTGGATTCCAGCAGGTGCGGAGGCTGAGACAGGCCAAAGGCTGTCTTGGTGATGTTCAACCAAAAACAAATGTCAGGGGAGTTGCTTGAGACTATGAGTAGCGTAGCGCTTCTAAGTATCCACAGGAGAGAAATGTTTTATGGGTTACATGCGGAAGGGATTAGTTAGTCTGAAACAAGTCGGCATGCACGTATAAAACGCCTTTTGTACTTTAATATCAGAAACCTTAGGTTCAAGCACTTACAGAATATTCTGACGGCAGTTGTACTCTCAACTTCGTTAGAAGATACCTACAAATCTAATTTAGGCATGTCTCAATGTCTAATATTTTAGGAACCTAATGCTTTGGGAGGTTCATTACCAACTTAAAACTATGATGTTGTCATTATCGCTAAGCCTGATTCAATATACGCTACAGATGATTCAATCGGTGTCTTTTCGGATGAGTTGTTGAACCTAGAGTTTTCTTCGTGTCATTGGCTTTGGCTTACCATCGGTGGACTCAATGACTTAAACCCTTGGCATGTGCCCTTGCTACGTGTCGCCAATACCTCTTTGCACTCCTCTCCCTAACCTGCCTGCCATATTTGGTCACAATGAAAATGCTGGCATTCCAGACAAACCCAATCACTGCGACAATGATGTAGGTGTCACGATATCCCATGTGGTTCAACCAGGGAGTAATGCCGTAGTTGATAGCAAAACTCATAGTATTGCGAATAATGACACAGGTCGTGATCATCTCACCACTGAGTTGAGGATACGAGGCAATGGCATAGCCAAGTGAACCCGCCACAGATAGAGCGTTGTTGATCGCCAGAGTGAACTGAGAGATGACGAGGCCTATCCAGTGAACGTGATAGGTCACGCCGAGGCCGTACAAAAGCATGCTGAACGGAACGAGAAACATTGACGCTGAGAACAGCTATAACGAATGTTCGGACTCGGAAATGCCGTGGTTGCGGCGTGCAAGTCGAAGCGTCAGAATTCGGCCGACTTTTCCACAGTAATAACCGCTGCATGTGAGATATATAAGTCAGCTGCTGTGTGCTTGGATTCAATGACGCAACTTCAAAACACGTACCCGACCATAGTTCCTAAAAGACCACCAGCATATGCAGCAGCGACGCCGGCGGTAGAGAATCCATACATTGTGGTATAGACAGTTCCAGCCGTCGCATTCTGTACACCCGACCACACTAAATTGTTGGCGCCATACATAAGGCTAAGAGAGAATTAGCAAGCGCGTTACTAGAAAAGCAGAACATCATGTCATACCCAGCATAAACAACCGATGGATATGTGAAGCCGGTCAGGCCACCAAGCGCAATGTCCAACATGCGATTGGGTCTGCGCTTGTCCTTAATACTGAGCTTCTGAAGGAAACTCTTGCGTGGGTATAATATCTGCCCCGTCTCGCTGTCGATAGGGTGGTGACTCGATGAGTCTTGCTCTTCAGACTTATTCCGGTCTTTCTCATCCACTTTGTTGAAATTCTGGGTCTCTGCGGTGCTCGCTTCACAGACTAAGGCGGCACTGTCGGTAACCGGTCTGGCTGGCCTGTCGTAGTTTGTCTCTTCCATAAATAGAAAACAGTAAACGAAAGCAATGCCGTTGAAAATGGCACACCACCACTATGACCAAATGTTGGTTAAATCATTGACAGCGACATGAAATCTTGAGGTGAGCTTACCAAAGTCCACTTCCAGCCCATGCCGACGTTAATGAAGCCTGATAGCATGGGTGCCAGCTTGCCTGTCATCGATAGACCCCAACCGTACAAGGCGAGATACTTGGGTCGTTGGTGAGCAAACCACTATGTTGCAGTTAGTTATTTGTGTTCAATCAGAATACACAGTCTTTAGGCTCAAGCAACAACTCACAACGTCTGTGATTGAAATTTCGCAAAGAGACTCGACTGGTGCTCCGAAAAGCCCTAGCAAGATTCGATTTGCCAAGTAAGTATTCTTTGTCGTACACATCGGCGCTGTGGCCAGGATCGCCTAAAACGATCTTTGTGAGTGACAACTCCGTGACAAGGCCGGTTATATAACGTACAATGTTGGCCACAAGTGACGCGAGATATGCTGGTCGTTTGCCATATTGGAGTGCAAACGGCTGCCAGATCAAACATCCCCACCCATAGAACAGAAACTATGATCAGACAGTTAGGATTGGTGATTGGTGGGGTATGTTGTCTTATCACTTGCCATGATTCCTGTTCCGTTATTGATGTCTTCCAAGGATAGACCGGTTGCCGCTCTGATAGGTGTCACAACAGAGTAAACTGCACTGCTGGGAATAGCGATCATTACAGTGTAAACAACGACGCAAGAAGTTGCCAACAATTTCCTTCGCTTTGTCCAGTTGAGTGGGTCTTCTGGATCATCAGATGGACGAGGAATGAGAACGATGTCCTGCTCGTCTGACCCAGAAGCATGCTTGGTGATGACGGAACCATCTACGTCAATGAGCCTTGAAGTGCCCGGCGGAAGGGCATTCTCGTTCTCCATACTGCCGATTTGGTGAATGAGCCCAACTTACTTGAATGGATTCGAAAAAGAGTTTCTGCAGCAGAAAGGTGCTGTTTGCAATGACTGATTGTCAAATCCAGAGCTGACTACAACTCTTACTTTCACAAGGGTTGTCGGAATTCAAGCTGATATTTGAGCGTGAACACCTTCCGCTACTTATCAGCGCCTCATCGCAGATCAACCAAGCTATGTGATCATTCCCGACTTTTAACAGCCCATCAATTCAAGTTGAGTACCTATGTCTATCTGTGCACGGCTCACGGTACAACTGTCTCGGTGAGTGGATACCATGCGCCCTGCAAACATTACTAGGTGTGACAACAGTTTGTGGGGCACATTGATAAGACTTCCTGGACCCCAACAGATTGCATGCTGCGGTTGGGCAGCGGCCGCATGTTTTGCGATAACAGGATGTGACATTTCCTAAAGCACAGATTTGTAGCTCCAGATAAAGATAGGAGAACGATTGCCCTGATTTGGGGAGGTAGTTACTGATCTAGGTACCCTTACATCCCCTGGTCCAACGATTTTGACGCGCCTGCTTGGAGCGGAGTCCCCTCGTGCAAGGTTACGGAAAGACGTGTTGGTATGGAGTCCACCCTATACCAAATTGGCAGTTGACAGCGATAGGTAAAGAGGCTTGAAGCTAGCGCTATCAGAGCTGCTATCGACGGTGAGCCGCTATCAGGTGAAAATGACCACTACATAGGATTGATTAGAGGCTTCCTGCGCCAATGCTGTAGGCACGTTGTTCTCATGCCTGAATGATCTATGGGCACTCACTGGCTTGAAACCTTTTTGCTTCCCCTAAGACCACAAAATGACTATTGTATCTTTTTCAACGCCTTGGGAAGATCTTTCGCAGAGATGCGTCGATATTCAGCGCAAGTCCATACCAAAGGAGTATCTGCTTCCCGAAGACCGACTCCCATCACAGACTCTTCTGAATGTCCAAAACATTCCATATGAGTCAGGAATCTTGACAGAAGAAGAGCTACGGATGACAGAACAAGATTCAGCTGCCTTGCAAACAAAATATAAGAGCGGTCAATGGACTGTCAGACAGGTTGTCACTGCATTCCTGAAACGAACAACCATTATACACCAGTTGGTAGGTTAACAGCCATGTATCAATGGCCGTAATGCTAACTTTGTTTTTTTTTGTTGCAAGACCAACTTTGTTACAGAAATATTAGCCGAGGAAGCACTAAAAAAAGCAGATGAGCTTGATGCCCATTTCCAAAACACAGGGAGGCTAGCAGGGCCCCTCCATGGTATCCCTATCTCGGTCAAAGTCAGCTTAACTATAAACGTAACTCTAAGCATCAGTCATCGATACTAATTCGTTGATCCAAGGAACATATTGGCATGGGTGGTCACATTACGCACGCAGGGTTTGTGTCGAAGATCACAAACATCCCAGACGACGATGCGCTCTCAATCCAGATTCTGAGGAAAGCTGGCGCTGTGATACATGTCCGAACAAATCAGCCTCAATCTCTTATGGTATGTAGGCGCTATAGCAATCACATAGAGCCTATGTCATTCGTATCGGTAACCATGTGCTGACCCTTACAGCACTTGGATTGTAACAACAACATTACCGGCCTGACACTGAACCCACACAACCTCCTTTGCTCTCCCGGTGGGTCATCGGGAGGCGAGGGGGTATCTGTTGGGGCAAAATGCTCTGTCATTGGTGTTGGTACTGATATTGGCGGCAGTATTCGCATACCAGCTGCTTTCAACGGTTGCTACGGGCTTCGGCCTACTGCTTTACGCGTCCCTAATCTGGGGAATTTTGGTATTACTGCCGGCCAGGAAAGCATTCGTGGTGTTGTAGGGCCGTTGGGTCAAAGCGTCAAGGATTTAGACTTGTTCATGAGTGCAGTGCTTGCAGCAGAGCCATGGGATACTGAAACAACATTAGTTCCAGTGCCATGGAGGCAGGTGAATGTTGGTAAGAACATCACAATTGGACTCTTGCTTGACGATGGGTATGTCATACTGCCTTGCGTTGGAGAACTCTAGGGCGCTAACTAAGTCAGTTGCGTGAAACCTCACCCTCCTGTTCTTCGTGCTCTTCGAACTGCGGCAGAAAAATTAAGAAAATCGGGCATCAACGTGGTGGACTGGGAGCCCTACGATCACGGCCGTGGATGGGAGATTATTGTGAGTCAACTTGGGGGACTTGGTACATTACAGTCGCATTTGAACCAGCTGACCCCTTTTTGAAGTCTGCTTTATACTTTCCCCAGGGACCGAAGCCATATCTCGACACGTTTGCTGAGAGTGGCGAACCCACACTCCCCCTCACGCACCATGCCTTTGGATTTTCAAGGGCTGAGCCACTCACTGTGGCGGAGAATTGGGATCTGAACTATAAGAGGGAGACTTATAGAAGGCAATACCACGCTCTGATGAAGCAGAAAGGGGTAGATTTTATTCTTTGTCCGGCTTATGTAGGCGCTGGTGTGCTGCAGGGCGGTGCCAAGTATTGGGGATACACCAGTATCTGGAATATTCTGGATCAGCCAGCGGCAATTCTCCCTAGTGGGCTAAAAGTTGACAAAGCCGTCGACTTGAGAGACAATGCTTACAAACCTAGAGATGAACAGGACGAGAACGAATGGAAGGCTTGTAAGTTAACTCACTGGTAGTGAACCATCCAAAGGCGAGCAGACTTTGCTAATCTCAGGTTTGGAAAGATGATGCGGAGCTTTTTCACGGCATTCCAATCTGCTTACAGCTGGTCGGGAAACACTTTCATGACGAAGAAGTGCTCCAAGCCGCCAAGCTTGTGGATGAGGTATTGAAGGACTTCGCTATGTGATGGGCTGAATTATAGTAGCGGAAACGTTCTAGAGAGAATCTATCTCTGTGTTGGATAAGAACTTCGACAATACAATCATACAGCAAAGACATGTGTTTTTATATAGCATGGAAAATCTAACCCTGAGACCGTGCTGGCTTTGACTTCCTGTGTGCCGTAATAACCATTCAACATGACTACTGAGGCTATGAACCCCGTTCCAAAGAATATAATAACTGCCTTTTCATTTGCGCTGGCTACCACTCACTTGGTTCCAATGACAGATGTGTCATCTCCGTTCGATGCAAGGGGTCATGATGTGATGGTCTAGAGGGAACACATGGGCAAGGCATGGAATGCCAATTGGGTCATGTACTTTCGTCCTCAGACCAATGTGAATACAATAAACACTCCAGCGTGACTGGTCGAGAGATGTGGGTAAATAGTGGGCAACAATGGAAATCAACCGCCTCTCGCATCAAGATGATGTATCATTGAAGGATGCTGGACTATCAGTGATGTTTCCAACGATTGGTTTCGATAGATTTGTAGATAAGAAGACCGCGGGCAATTATTGTAGCCTCGGTTGTCGACAACCGATAACTAAGAGACAAAGAGCGATCCGTTGATCTGACTGGGTCACCTGCTTGATAAGCGATCGAAGGTCTGACGAATGCACGCGCAGCCAGGTATCCAAATTGGGTTTAAAATTGACCAGCATGAGTGGAGCTTAACATCGCTGTCAAATGCCTTTTCCAGCAGCATCAATTGAAAGATAACGACAGACTACGTTTCATGAAGACGACAACGTGGGGATACCCAATATGAGAAAGCCACATAATGGATTCATTGCAGAAAGTTTGTCATCTTTTTTTTTATCTCGTCACTAGAAATGTAGTCGAAGCTTTGGCAGTCCTGTTGCATACTCTGTGGACTAGAGACCATCTTTTCAGGCTCAGGAATCGCTCCAAAGTTTGAACTTTGGTTCCTTGTTTTATTTTAGCCATTTTGTTGCATCGCGATCGAATATCTATACGGTTAAGATGAATAGACTTGTTGAATCTGTTGATTTATCAACCACGACTCCAGCGTACTATGCCCCGGCAACAATTACCCGCACTGGGTCGCTCGTACACGTCTCCGGCTTGCCGGGTGCTATGAAAGATGGGCAGGTGCCCACGAATTACGAGTCTCAAATTCACCTGGCTTTGCTCAACCTACGAAAAGTCATCATTGCCTCTGGAACGACTGTATCGCACATCGCAAGTATTACGCTCTACATCGTCGACTACGATGCTACGAAGCGACAACATGCCCGTCACATTCAACGGTTCTTGGGGAAGCACCGTCCTGCAATGACACTTGTTCCTGTGCAGAAGCTGGCAGCTCCAAATTGGTTGATCGAGATCAACGCAGTGGTTGCTCTACCGGAGGTCTCTACGATTCCACGAATCATCCCCTCCGTTCAACAGTCTTATGATGTCGTCATCATCGGTGCGGGGCTCGCGGGCCTCTCGGCTGCTAAAAGAATACAGAGCGCCGGCCTTACTTGCGTGGTCTTAGAGGCCCGCGACCGTGTGGGCGGCAAGACCTGGAGCCAGCCGATGGAGAATGAGGGTGCTAGTGGAGTGTTCGACCTCGGAGCAGCCTGGATCAACGATACCAACCAGAGCAGAATGTACGAGCTGGCGAAAAAGTACGGCGCCGAGTTGATTGAACAAAATACCAGCGGGAATTGTGTGCTCCAAGAATTCGACGGCAAATGTGTTCCCTTTCCGTATGGGGAGTTGCCCATGGTACGTCCCAGGGTCTATCATACAACTTTATGCCATCGTGCAATAACTAATGAAATCCGAACAGTTCGACGCGTTAACCCGCGACCACTTAGCCCAAATCCGCGACATGGTCGAAGCTGATTGTCAAGCACTGGACACTTTCAGACCCAAAGATGCTACCCTTGATTCGCTGACATTCGAAGCGTATTTGAAGTCCCGAGGTGCCAATGACACTGCGTTGGCCACAGCCACAGTGTGGACAAGAGCTATGTTAGGCCAGGAGCCTAAAGACATATCGGCACTTTACTTTCTCAACTATTGCAAGTCCGGCGGCGGCCTGTTGCAAATGCGCTCAGATCGAAAACATGGAGGACAGTTTTTGCGCGTTCGCCAAGGCACCCAGCTGTTCTCCAAGGGACTAGCGTCGTCCTTACCAGAGGAGACTGTTCGCCTATCGAGCCCTGTTCAAGCACTCGTCCAGGATGGAAACCGATCTGTGAGATTGGAAGCTAGTGGGATCCTTTACAACGGTAGAAAGGTTATCACGACAGTACCTGGTCCGGTTCTCAAGACGATGTCCTTCACTCCAAGCCTGCCGCAAGCGAAGATAGCCTGGGTCGAATCCCAGACCTACGGTTATTACACCAAAGCCATGATGGAATTCCGATCACCGTTCTGGATTTATAAGGGCTTCTGTGGTTTGGCACAATCTTTCATCGGCCCGGCATCCGTAATTCGCGACACGAGTAGTCCTGCTGACGGAAAGTTCGTTCTGACATGTTTCATGGCCGGCGAGCCTGGCAAGGCTTGGGCAACTCTGCCAACTGCTGAACGCGAGAATAATCTTCTTGCCCAGATTGGTGAACTATTTGGAAAGAAAAATATTCGTGGAGAATTTCTACGTATGGTTCTTTTCGAATGGGTTGACGATGAATTTTCTGGATGGGGTTGCCCATGCACGTCTCTCCCACCCGGAGTCCTTGATACCCTGGGCGCCGATGCACTGAGACAATCGGTAGGAAGTCTTCATTTTGCTGGCACAGAAACGGCAGGAGAGTGGAAGGGTTATATGGAAGGCGCTGTGAGGAGCGGAGAACGAGCTGCAGCAGAAGTTGTTGAGAGCCTGAAGTCTGATGTTGCGCCACGTCTTTAGCCAGTAAAGGTAATAATACTATCATTCACGAGTCATATTGTCATTCCAAACCAAAACAATCAAGTACTATCGTATATATTACTGAGACAATCTTCGGGGTGCTTCAGGGTGACCTAACTATGTTTCAATAGCGCTTACATGAGACTCCTGGTTTATCTAAACATAGACACAAACACAATCACAGTAGTAAGCCAAATTCCCACATTCCACGCATGTGTTTCATTTGTTATAAGAAAGATTAGCTATTTAATGCAGTTGCCATATCACCAAGTAGGCAACCCCGATCAGAAGTGAGGTCAGGAAGCGGACGGTAAAAGAAGACGAAAGTCCCTACGGACTTTGAGACAGTAGCCCGCCAAAGGCTTAATCAAGAATAACTTCGAGTAGTGCAGCGTCAGATGCTTCATATTGCGGGAACGGCATAGAGAAACCTGAAGGTTGGGCGCATGAGTGCAACTAGCTCGGGGCAATCTCATGATACGTTAAATGTCTCATGATGCAATTGACTTTGGTTAAACACAAGCCAGTACTATCGGAAGCAAACGGGAATTTGCATTCATCCAATAAGCACTCAAACTTTATCTGCAAGACGAATTTAGCATTGTTATTTGATACAGATCCGCGCCTGTCCGCCCTATATCGACTTTGTTATCATTATCCATCATCGCGTGTTTACAATCAGCGCAGTATTTATCATATAACGCAGGATCTTAGACGGAAAGCCTCTTGTACATCTTGAATTAAGAAGCAAAAAAACATGCTTAATACGACGATAACTTTGACGCATGTCACACCTGTCCCCAAGCACATGTCCCGCGAGGACGCCTTGTCGCGACTTCATGATGCGGAGAATCATATCAAAAGCGACCCAAACTTGACTCACTGGAACCCCAGAACGCCCAAAATTACCCCTACAGTTCCCGAAGATATTGATTCCATCGCCGCAACCGAGTGCTATACAGTTACCGACACTGTACCGACACACCTTCCGAAGGCGTTGCCCAAAGGCATGCTGGAAAAGAAGAGTGTAAGCGAATACGAATTTACCTTCACACCGGATGGAAGTTTTGTCCGCATATACTGCCCACTCAACGTCTTAATGGAGACGCGGTGGAGGATCCAAAACGCGAGCGGCGGCGGCCTTGAATTGGAGGAGAAGGTCAACGCCCAGTGCTCTCGTTTCTTAGTGAGCCTTGTTAAGGGAGAGTTGGAAAAGAATTGGAAAGACGTTCATCAGAAAATTCTCACGGAGAAACCGTGAGGAATTAAGCTACAAGGAGCTGGCCTGATAGATCGATCTGGTATAAGCTGTTTCTGGGGGCTTTTACTTTCAGGAGTGGAAACTTTCAGCTACTTGGAAGTCAATAGAGAAAGTTCCGTGGTGTTGTGAGCGCTGCATGTACTATTCGCTCATTCTCCTTTCTGAAGTTCTCCCCGCGACTTCCAGATCTCATACTCGAAATCGGGCTGGAACTCGGTGTACAGTGTCTCCTATAAGGGCCTGGTAAGCATTGACTGACGTTAAACACAATGCAAGTGAACGTACCGGATCAGCGTTAACTTTGGCTGTGAGCTCTGCTTCCTTGCCGCCAATGAGATTCTTGGGCAAACCTGTACTCTCAACCATTATCTGAACCTCACAGGACTTCTCCATTAGAGTGAAAAGATACGCTGCCTCATCCACAGTCCTTCCGGTTGTCAACAGACCATGATTTTGAAGAACCATCACACGGCCCGTAGCTCCCAGGGCCTTCACGACCCTTTCACTCTCTTCCGAATCCAGAACAACGCCACCAAAGGACGTGTACACTGCTTGGGTACCCCAAAAATTGCAGGTATCCTGATTGATGATGTCCAGCGGTTTTCCAAACGTAGACCAGGCCTTGCCCGCTGGCGAATGCGTGTGACAAGCTGCGTGTATATCTGGGCGAGCCTTGTGAATGGCACTATGGATCATGAATCCTGCTGCGTTGACCGCTGTTTTGTTTCCCCCAATTACCTGTCCGTTCTCGTCAATCTGAACCATGTCAACAGCCTTAAGCATGCCAAAGTGCTTCCCGAGCCTGTCGAGGACGTGAGTCAAAGTACTGAAAGCGCACAAGCAAAACTTCGGAAAAGCTCACGGGTTGATCCAGAAGGTGGTAGGGTCCACCGGGTCTCTAACACTGATGTGACCGCTGGTTCCTTCCGTAAATCCCTTACGGGCAAAAACTCGAAAGGCACCAGCCATGTGCTCGAGCTGCCATTGTCGTTTCTTGTATGGATCTGATATGCTTGGAATTCCAGGAAACTCGTAGCCGCCTGTCGAAAGCGCTGTAACTCCTGATTTTTCCCGTGGCGTCGGATCAACAGGCTCTAAAACCATCGGCGGCACAGTGATCTGGTTCGCGGTGATGGTTGCCATGACGTGCGATTATCACTTGGTATTGGTGCCTTCTTGGGGTTTTGTGTGCTGTGCTGGGACTATTATTTCACAAGATTGGTGTAGGACCCCCTAAGCAGCAAAACTTGTCATGTAACAGTTGGCGTGTTGCTGTTTTACTATTCACTCCATGTCCCCTTCTCATAACCCTCTTGTAGTATGTCACTTAGCTATACATGAAACCCCACCCCAATGCTGGACATCAATGCCGATCATTGCTGTCATGAAGGCTGAATATGTTTGTCTGTCTAGGCCTTTCGCTGTCGCCTTCCGTTTCCTTATCTATGGGGTAGCCGGCTCCACATGTTGTGGCGGGACTAGTACCTTGCTGCAGAGATATCGTGATAAGCGTATCTATTCACCCACAGTCTTTCCCCGCGTTTATCTTCAGATACCCACCGCGTGTAGGCTCCGTACGAGCAGGATCCCCAAAATCCCCAGTCGATCGTTGACATGCTTCTCTCGCTGTCGACTGCCAATTCTCGACAATCCGCACGCAAACCGGACAGGCCAACTTATCACAAACTAGCTGGATAATGACTGCATGGAACAGCTCGATGGTACCTTCTAGCCACTTATCCAATCTGGGTCGCAAACGTACCAAGACATTCACTGGCTGTTGGACATGCCGCTCGCGCAAAGTGAAATGCGATGAGACGAGGCCCCGCTGCCTCCATTGCATTGAGAAAGGAGTGGACTGCAAGGGATATGGTGTTCGCCTTCAATGGCTGCCTCCCGCTACTAGCCTGTCATTGGACTCGAATCTCTCCGGCCTGGCAGAGACGGGTGCTCTGTCGAGCGCTGTGTCATTTAGACGCCAACTTCCACCTTGTGAGTTGTAGACATCCCTGTGGCCTTGTTTGGATGACTGATGATATCATAGTACCTGCGCCATCGGTCTTGAAATGGAGCCAGGTTGAAGGTATCCTGCGGTTGCTCGACTCTATAGAACCTGGTGGCTTAGTATCATCATGCTACTGGGACTCTGGTGTTACCCTTGAAAATTTCGGAGTGTTCAGAGCCACTAAGACACAAGACAATTGCCGTGAGTCATGCATGCCAGACGACGGCGTCATTACAGATGGACCACTCGAGATCGAGTCGCCAACTCCAATCTCTTTGTCGATGCCAGTCAGCCAAGGCTCTTCACCGGGCACACAAACATCTGCGGCTCCACACAATCTTCCGTCGCCTTCAAGCTCTGAAGCGGCTGCAGCTTGGGAACTTTGCAACTTGCATGAACACATACAACAGGTGACAGAAAGTGCCTCAAACAAGCCAACTGAACGCCGCGCTACGACCACCACAGCTGAAGTCGATGACTTTCTGGAGGATGAAAGAGGCGTAAAAGAAATACCTTTGGACAAAACTTCTCAGTGTCTTGATGAAAGTGCCTTCTTGGCATTGTGCGACCAGCCACCTTCTCTGCTTCCAAGCCAGGAACGCTTCCTCATGCATCATTATATGCAAAGAGTTGTCAGCCTATTCTGTGTCATTGACAACGCGAAGAGTCCTTGGAAGACCATCCATCTTCCTCGAGCCGTCCAAGGCGCGGGTGAATTAAGTATTGCTGGACGAACATCAAGAATTCGAAACGCGCTGAGGAATGCACTGCTCTCAATCAGCGCTTTCCACTTCTCCAACGTGGGTGTCGCTCAAGCCAGTGGAGACGCATCTGGCGGTTGGGTTTATGCGGCGAATCAGTATCGATATAAGGCAATTGGAATGCTTAAGCAAGCAGTCGAGATTGACCTCTACTCTTCCGAACGTCCCAAGTACAAGGAGTTTCTCGCTACGATGTTGTCGATGATTACAATTAATGTAGGCTTCGCTCATAATCGCTTGTTCCCGTTACTCATTTATTTCCAGGTCATGTCAGGAGAAACGGCCACGTGCCGCGTTCACTTGGACGGAGCTGCTCAACTAATCAGCCATATGGGTAACAAAAAGAAGAAACATTCTGCAAAAGTACAAGCCCTCCATCGTATCTACTTCTACCTACGAGTCATATACGAGAGTACTGCAAGGAGGTGTCAAAACTCATCGGTTCATGAGTTCATTCCATGCGGTGCTCTTGACCTACGCAGGGACATCATCAACGACAATCCTGGCAGGTGTGACAACCGCGAGTTCACAGTTGTACCTGACGTCGTCTCTCATGCGCATGAAGTGGATAGGTGTACTTACGAATACATCTATGGCGTGCCCCAAAGCCTTTTGTCTCTTCTTAAGACGGTCATCAACCTCATCGATGACGTGGATGACGCAAGAGAAAAGAGTGGCTCAATTATCATTCCAGAAGAATTACAAAGAAAATGCGACAGTGTGGAGAGGATCATATTCGACTGGTCGCTGGAAGAGGAGCTGGCTCGCTGCCAGAATACTCATCTCGATGCGAGTTCTCAGATCATCTATCATCAGACGAAGTCCTTTCACAATGCCCTGATAATATACTTTTCTCAGAACGTTAGACTCCTCAGTCATCGCTATCTTCGGCTGTATGTTGAAGCGGTTCTTCAAAGCATTGAAGCAATTGAGACCATTAAATCCGAGACAAAAGTTCTCGCCGCACCACTCTTCTGGCCAGCTTTTATTGCAGCGACGGAAACCTTCGACCAAAACCTTCAAGACCGGTTCAGGAACTGGTATGATAAAGTTGGTGTATATGGAATCAAGGCTGTGAGAACAGGAACGCAAGTAGTGTATGAAGTTTGGAGAATAGGGCCAGCAGCTAGTGGTCGAGTCACTAGCCTATGGCGAAATGTCGTTGACCGCACTGGAGAGACACTCATGCTTACTTAATTTGTCGGTGAATGAAATATAATTAATTACATAAAAGGTTTCTTACAAAATGCAAATCTGACACGGGTCCTGATGATGAGCAGCAAGATGGTGGTGCTGCCTGTAACAGAATCTAGAATGGATCCTTTCGTACTTGCGCTAGCTATCGAAGCCAGAAGTAAACTATACATATCCAGCAGCAAAGTCACAAGTGGAAGAAACGATAGGTTAGATTGAGTTAGTGTTTGAATCGGATGTCTTTCCGATTGCTGCCTTCGTCCTTCGTCGTTTCGAGATAGTGAACTTTCTCCTAGTCTTATATTAGCTCTTAGAACAAATCTCGCGGAACATGTGAGAAAGTAACTCGCCTCTTCCGTCATAGTATTCCACTCCTTCTCTCTCTTCTTATTGCACCACATGTAAAAGAGCTTTGCAATGAGGTAAACGCAGATATTCATGCAGCAGATTCCAATGAGTACTCTGTTACCGCGACGATCTAGTAGTTCGAGCCACGTCAGATGACTATCGATTGATCCCAACGATAGGGGAATGGACTCACACTCAGGACGGTCGTCTTCCCGGTAGATGTTGGAGTATATAACTCGAGCAAGTTGTACCATCATGCTAGACTGCAATCAGCTACCTAGGTCTAGGTTGTCTGCCAGGAATAGAACACTACTTACTTATACAAAGCTGCTGATACAGCTCGAGTGCGAACGGAGTGAGAGTTTCGAGAAGCCCACGAAACATGCATAGCATGTGCTATAGCCATCAAATTAGCTTCATGCATCGAACCGTAAGGTTTTAACGGGGGGCAGCCTACGTGAGGGATAAGATAAAAGGACAGTGACAACAGCATATTGTGCCCAAGGACTAGTGTTCGATGGCAACACGGCCATGGCGACCAAGTTTGGCAGGTACCACAATTGCGTAAACGCGCCAAAGAAAGCTCTTGTATCCCAAATCTCAGAAATATAGGTCATGATCAACATACAGATCGCACCAAGGAATTGAGGAGGGATGCTCAGTAGATTGGTGTCGTTTGTGTTGAATCCTAGCTCTCTTAGCGTTATAGTAAGGTACTGGTCAGGGGGACCGGCTGGGATCTCCCACAGCAGACCAAAGATGTAGATTGGCCACAACTCATAGTCAGCCAGTGACTTGAGAAGAAGCTTGGGGGTGATCGCCTGGCGGTTGTGCATATCGGATTTGGAAGGGTCATCGCGGAGAATACGGTTGACAAGGATCTTTTCTTCTTGCTCGTTGAACCACCCCTGAGGCCGCCACCAAGCCTTGGTCTGCGTTGGCGAAGCAGCCATGGCAAACCATGACCATATGCTGATAGATAAAGTGATAATGCCTTCAATAAGGAAAAGCCATCTCCAGCCCTCGTAGCCACTGATGCCATCCATGCGAAGGACTCCAAGGGCCAGCAATGGTGCAACAATATCCGTAATTCGGCGAACAGTCCAGAACATGGCCAATCGGAAGGGTAGCTCTGTAGACTTGAAAAAATACGTGAGATAGAGCACTATGTCCGGGATGAAACCTCCCTGAAGGATGCCTAAAAGCGAGCGGCAAACAAGGAACGAGGTCCTCCCACTCAGCCAGAACTGACACCCAGACACAATACTCCAAGAGCACATGATGAACGGGATCCAGCGATCAGGGCCAAGTTTCTTGCTAATCATCTGGGACGGCAACTCGGCACACAAAAACGAGATCTGGAAGACGGTGTTTCCTAGGTTGTAATCGTTCGTGTTCATACCTAGGTTTTGGAGAAACGATGCCGAGTTGGCCTGGCTGAGGTTACCACGAGGAAGATCGAGAGCAAAAAACGCTGTAAAAATGTAAGTTAGTGACCTCAAAGGAATCATCAGACTTTCACATACCAATGCAAGCCCAAAGAGTTATCCGAAAGTCCATCTTGGTTATCAAGGGAAGTTCTTCTCCCCAAGTCCAACGAAAGGTCGGGTCAAAGCGATGCAAATTCTCATAGCGTGGATGCGGCTGGAAGAATCTCGCAGTTGAAGGATTATCGTACACCGAAGGCTGCGTCGCGATGGTATTGGGATCGTAGTCGCTCTTCTTCTTGAAAAAGGAGAGAATTGGGATGATTGGGGCATCTTGCTTTCGAAGTTCGGCTTGCTCGCGGAGGATTCGGTTCTTTGCCTGCTCGAGTTCCTCGTCTGTTGGCTCGGTTTTTACGATTTCACTGGTCTCTTGCCTACCATCCGAATCCGACGGCGGCGAGGTCGATGCCTCAATATCCTTCTTCTCTGACATTGTCTCAAAGTTCACAGAATGGATTTTTGATGTATGTCCGCTTAATCTTGAGAAAAGAAATTTAGCAGAGCCCAAGAGGACGAGCAGCGTTTTTAAAAAAGAAAAATCATTCCTAATCTGCGAGACTTGCTTCTTAACTGAAGTAGAAATCCTGTCATTTCTCGCCCAGCCTGACGTGATTTCCTAAGGCAGCTGCATGCCTAGCCAGCGACTTCGGCTGCGATGCCGTATAGACGAAGCTTCCTCCATTACACCGGAAAGTTGACCGATGATTGCTTCCAGGTGCTAGGGTAAAAATCAGCCAAGTATTTTGCAACCCTAATAGTTTGGAGCTTTTTCTTGAAGTTAGACATCTGCTTGCTCGGCATTCTCAATCGTTGCTGGTTCAGGCCGATGGCACCATTCGTTATCTCGGCCTAAATCCTTGGTGCTTCCTTGGCCGTGGCAGTGCTCTATCTTCGCTTTTCACAACCAGCCAGTCGATCTCTAAAACCGTAGCCAAATTGGCTAGAAAAGTGCCGTATACAGGAGCGCGGAACGATGATGTGATGTACCATGAAAAAGACGTGATCGTTTTGATAGCCAGATTCCACTGGCAGGGTCGCAGACAATAGGTCAGCGTTTGCTTGGTATGCTTGGTATGGCTTCTTGGCATCTCTGCTGGGCCGACAACCCGTGCTTATAGATGCTATTGGTTCCGATCCCGTAATGAGTCCTAAAAATGACAAACCCTCCATAGAGTTTGTATTGGGTCAACGGGTAAGTACAATTATACCGACTATACCATACCATACTTACTTGAAGACTGCAAAAAGGACTGTGTGATTGGGCCGCGTACAAGAAACTGGCCAGCATGGCTCACAATGCTGGGCCGAGATGGTTCAACCTTGGGCGGCTATTGACGTCGTAGGACGCGAACCAATAACTGATAATGACTAGTCGGGACTTAGATGATGCGATTGCATCGCCATAGCCGATCTACAATTAGAAAGCTGAATTTTACTAGTAGAGATCATAATCTTGTCTTATGATCATGATACAAAGAGAACATGTTCTGATGAATGCATCCATTATCGTGGATGGGCTTTGCGCCTTGCCATTATTGTTGTTACGTGGGGCATGACTACAATACCGTGGCAGGTATGGAATGGCGAGTCGCCAGCTGAATCCTCAGTGTGTGGCCAAAAGTGAAAGTCGATTCTCCCATGCGCGACAATTAATTCATTTGAAATTCATCATTGGTTCGAAGAGCATAATTTGTGGAGAAAGTCTTCGAAATTCTTATTCTGCCAGCCACTGGTCGATGACGGACAAAGAATGATATTTAAGACGTCAACGAACACTGCTCCGCGGACTTCCAGGTACCCCCCGCTTCATCAAGAAAGTCGAAAAAGAAAATCAACCCACGTATACTTACACAAATACCATCTTAGAGACTCTAATCATTATTTATCCTAGGAGTATGTAAGAGTCATGCTTGGGAGCCCAGCAGACACACACGGCTTCTAAACATAATTATACCTGAACACTCCAAGAATGTAGATTCATATCTGAAAGCGAGACTGGTAGTCTCGTGGACTTTGCTGAGTCTATTTCCTCGAAGCTTTGCTCTCATGGTTGCCTTTTCCTGGAATCTTCGGGGGCGCTGGCACGGCAAAGGTTCAACGAATGTCAACATTAAGACCTCACGGACCCTGGGTACAATGTCCGGCAAGTTTGGTCAGGCTTAGACGCAAAAGATTGATTCATTGACACATCAATGGAACTACTATGGTGACTAAGTTACTTCATTAGGTATTCTGGAACTAGGGTGCATGTGCGCCATTTAAGATATAGTTTGTTTCTTTTATAAATGCTTAACGGTTCATCATAGCCATACTACCCTTGGCGACTGTTCTCCGACCAAAATGTCAGCCCAGCCTGAGATCTCAGCGTTCCATAAAGTGCTGCACCATCCAGATTCTCCCCACCATAAGCTCTTGCGCTAAGCATGTTGTTGGTTGCGATTTCTAGTGCTGGCATCCTAACTCCTACGTCACTTGCCACTCTCAATGCATGCTTTGCATCTTTTATCGTATTCGAAACTAGAAACCCAGCTGTACCTTCCTTTGGAGCCCATGAACCACTGGTCAGTCTCCGCGAGTAGCTGCCCAGAACTGGTCCAAAGTTTTCAATGATTAGGTCTTCCATGACATCGGTGCCAATACCATTTTGCTCGGCTAGGACCTGAGTCTCAGCGATGGCCTCAAGGAAGACCACCAGAAGAACGTTTCTACATTCGCATGTTAGAGAACAATTTCAAATCCTGCTTTGGCCCTTTAGCCGATTCGAAAAGTATACATACCCTGTCACCTTCAGCATCGGGGACTTCTTTATGTCTTCTCCCATGTTCAAGACTTTTCGTCCCATCACATCGACAATGAGCGGCTCAAGACGCTCGATGGTGGTTTGAGGCCCAGCCATGGCGAAGATCAACCTCCCGGCCTGAGCAACTGGGCTCGCGCCGAAGACTGGGGCAGCGACAAAGATAGCGCCAGCATTTTGCAGAGTTTCTGACACTGATGCCGCTGTATCAGGATGGATTGTGGAGCAATCAACAAAGGTTTTGTCCTTGAGGTCGATGCCACTTGCCAGGAGCTCCTTGACAAGCGACAAGAGAGCGGCGTCTGTCGATACCTGGCTGAAGTGTTAGAGAACATGTCAAGATCAACGTTTCCAAGAACAAGTTCAGCACCTAAACTTACCATGGTAAAAACATCATCGCACACCTGTGCTATCTCTACTATGTTTTTCTTTAGTAGAGCTCCAGCTTTCTCCAAGTCGACTCCTTTTGATATGGTGCGGTTGGAGAAGATGAGGCTAGCTCCGTATGATTGAAGCTTTTTATGTAGGTTGAGGGCCATGGGCAGACCCATGGAACCAAGGCCATACTGATACACGGGTTAGGCTTAGAGATGTCGGTAGATTCGTCTGGTGTTCTTACCCAACCGACAGGCTTGATTTTCTGCATGTTTACTAGATTAAGGTGTTCCTACACGTATAGCTGGTCAATGACAAAAACGTTTTGCTCAAATCAAGAGTCAGCTCGAAACATGAATGACATGTCTTTTTCCTACGCAATGCGTCGCGAGGCTATTTATATGTAGTAATACTAGCATTGTCTTCGTCGGCAAGACATCCGAGATCAGCGGGTCAGTCAAGCAGATTAAAGATAAATCGATATTCACTGACTACCTGAATACCTTAGCTTGATGAGAGATACTGTTTCGGCTGAAAACAATCATTGGTTCATGTTGTTGGCCGAGTGTCTCAATTGCCATGGTCCGAAACTCGGCGTCAAGTGATAAGGATACTTCGGATGTCTCGTCCGGGGCCAACCTTTGATAGCCGGGACCTAGGCTTATCCTTGTTGCTCCGGGAGTCGGGCCCGAAGGTTAGGAAACAAGACGGATGTTGGTGTGGATTGTGGTGGCCCAATCAAAATAACAAGCCCAATATCGGTAGCTCATCCGCCCAAGGATGGTCATGGTCGTCGGATACTTCCCGATCTTATCTCTATCTGTCACCAAAGAACAAGAGAGTCTATCGCCTTGTATGGTGGGGTCCAAAGTCAAGTTCCGTGGTGATTTGCACAGATAATGCCATAAATAGTTCTAAATCCTCGAACATGAAGGCCATACTTTCTCGTCTAACTTTATCTTCTCAAATCAATCGAAGATCCAGGCAACAATTTGCTACGGTCACAAGGGAACTTGAAGGTTTCGATTCGGGTGATGGCAATGCTGAAACAGATTGTGGACCGACCTGCTAGAGAACATTCCTACTTTACTGAAGTAGTGGTGCCGGTCCATAAGAACAACTGAAAACTTCTCGTTATTAGTCTTCCTTTCCCACTTGCGCTTATAGGGTTTCAGACAGATTCATATAGAGATAACACCAATAATAAGAAGCTTCCGGGGTGCATCTAAACGTTAACCATATGGAAATACAAGTTTTTGCGATAATATTGGCTGCTACTGATGGTCATGCCTACGGTATTCGGTCAGCCCGCTTGCTCTTCCATCAATTGTGAACTCCAGACTTTTCTTCTAGAAGTTAAATCTTATCACTTGGGGATGTGTTTCAGTCCTGCATTGCTCCTTGTGACTTTCATGCACGCTTTCCTCCTTATCAGATGTTATCAACACAATCAATCGGAATTCCAAGCAAACTGGCATTTCTCTCGTAACCAAATGTAGAAGTGACCTTCCGCAAAATCCGTAAATACAGCACCACCTTGTTACAGTGCAATTGGCGACCGTGGCATACAATGGCCGCATGTCGGCATGTGAGCCACTTCAGAACTTGGCACATGCGCCTATTTTAATCGTCACACTTTAGTAGAACTGCAGCTATGGTGGTCTTGGCCAAGCTTGCATGCGCTTTGTGCACCAGCCTTGTAGCTCTTGTGGAGCCAGGCATTGCTGCACCGTACACCCAAGCCGAGCAAAACTTGACAGTAATTCAAGGCAAATGGATTCTTGAGTGGGTCAATACCGCACACAAGCGAAGTCTCGGGCTTCGCCAGACAACAGGCATCGAGCGAACTTTTGGCATGGATAGTTTCCATGCATACACTGGCGAGTTCGATGAGGAGGTGGTGGCTGATATTGAAGTCAAACACGAGGTATGAATACACCGTTGTGAAACGACATATTGGGAAACTGGTTCAACTAACATTGTCCCTCTTAGGTCATCTCGATCGAACCTGATCACGAAGTATCCCTTACAGTCCTCACCGAGATTGGTAACCAACCCTGGGGATTGGCCAGCATCTCACCACGTACCAGATTCCACAGCGATGTCATCGAGCATCAAACTTATATCTATGACACAAGCGCAGGAACAGACACTTTCGCGTACGTCCTTTAATCAGGTATTCGCATCTCTCCCCCCGAGTTCCAGGGCCGTGCGATCAAGGGATACAACTTCTGGCCAGAAAGCGGTTTCGAAGACGAATTTGGCCTTGGCACTCATGTTGCTGGTATAATTGGATTGCTCAGTTTCGGTGTCGCCAATAATGCGACCATCGTCGACGTAAAAACAAACGACTTGGCTTACGGCACAACAGCCAAAGTCATTGAGGCTATCAAATGGTCTGTTCAAAACATCACCAATACTCCGGGAAGAGCTGGACGCTCATTTATCAATATGATTTTGGGTAAGTTTCCAATCTTCGAGCTTTAAGTTGGTCTCAAAAGTGACTAGTGAAAGTGTGCAGGGTGATCAGGTCTATAGAGAGCGGTGCGGTGCGATGAACAACCACAACCTCCCCCTATAGCTACGCAAGATGCCTTTAACCAGTCGCGAATCAGCTGTCCTAATCAGGTCAAATATGCCCTAATTAGGCTTAGCCGGGATACGATGAATAAAGTAGAGAATCCATAAGTTCTTGTGTAGATGTGATCAGGGTGTTGGTCATCACGAAAGACAGAAAGGATGTTCCCTTGGGCACAGAAAAGTCTCGTCCGTGTGTGTTGATTGTGCGTGTCTGATCTAAGTCCCTCTGTGTCATGGAGGTTTCTATACCCCTGATCAGACTCTGCTTGGCTAAGAAATCAAACAAACTAAACGCAAGGACCACTTCAATGGGAGCAGGAAACCCTGCCCCGTTCCACTAGATAGCTACCGCTGTTTCGACCGCACTGAAAAATGCCGTCGACGCTGCCACAGCACTGGGCATCCTTGTCGTTGTTGGCGCTGGCAACGACGGAAGGGATGCTTCTACGAGGTCGCCTGCCAGTGCCCCGAACTGCCTTCACTGTCGGTGCCGTTTCCATAAATGTGGTCCAATTTTGTACCTTTGGTTGACGTTTTTGCCCCTGGGGTTGACGTCAGACCACGCTCGGTTACCCCTTCCGGAGTAGCTCTGTCGTCTTGGACGTCAATGTCTACGTCGCATGTAGCTGGCTTAGCCCTGTACTTGAAGGCTCTAGAGCGCACTGCGCTAGACGCGCCAGCAGACATCGCAGATCGGATTAAATCGCTTGCGACCAGGGACATTATCGCCAGTATCAGCGCTGGCAGTCCCAGTTTGCTGGCTTACAACGGGAATGGCCGGCAACAAGCTTTTCTACCCAATTTCTGGGGCCAGGTTTTGTACAGGAACCTTGATACCATTGACATCCTCCTTAGTCAACAAGTTTGGATAGCCAGCCGTGATGCAATCATCCAATGGAGGATTGTGCTCCTTCGCACCTAGTCGAAACACAGCCCACCTTCCATAGCAGGACTCCGCGGCTGCGACCTTATTATGTTTTTCCGCAGTGCTCTTGTGAAGTTGAAGATCTCAGACTCTCGAATCTTGCGACCATTGCTTTTGTGGAAGTCTTCCAGGTCAATTTCATGAAATCGACCGGCAGGGACGGGCTCAAAATCGACGACCCAGCCACCGAAGAAGTCGGGGACGTATACTGCAGCATTGGCCTCGTGGGCGTAATGATCTGCGAGAAGACGTGCATTGGAAAAGGTCCAGCCGAGTAGGTCATGGACGAGGAGAATGGCCACGTCAGGATTATCGCTAGTGGTGTAGGCGCCTTTGCCAGCAAGTTTATCAGTCCGGCCTGTAGATTTGCCATCCCACTCAAAAGGTCCCAAACAACAAGACGCAACTTCCATCTCTGCGGTGCGATACAAAAAGATTGATAATTCAGGCCTCTTTTAAAAAGCTTCAAATAGAGAATACTATCTAACTAGACAACAGATTTGACGGCTCACCAGAGATTATAAGTGACAGGATCGAAGGACCTTCGGACAACTATATCGTCCGACACCCGCAACGGTTCATCGTGATGTGGAGAAAAGGTGTCTCCCCAGTCAAATCCGCCACGCTGAGGAGGGATACACCCAACCTAAATGAGTCAAAGTGGTAACGTCTCTCAGGGCGCAATAAGAATTGATGTTATGGTTGTCGCGGCCGTTGTGCACTCTTGAAACCAACTGAAGAGCATACGATTCAGGATCATAAATTACATGAATTGTTCGGGTTGAGCCGATCTCCAAATAGATGAGCTACCAGACGACACATCATTACTTGCTACCTAGACATGATAGAAAAGCTCGATAGGGGTTTTGTCAAGTCGTGTTCAACGATCTGCTACCTTGACTTCGCATTTTTACAGAAATCCAAGACTTGGACCCTCTTCTAGACATTCTGATGGAACGATTTCGGGATTTCTGAACGGGAATGTGCCCTATCAGAAAGTCACATCACCCGCGTGGGCCATAGACCTCCAGCCTTGCCCCGATGTGACTACAACAAGATTCTATGTCAAGTCTCTCAAAACGACTTCTCTTAATACAAAGTGAGTAGACTTTTCAGGCACGTCAGTGGCTGCGCTCGTTCCACGTCCTATCGAAGACGCTGAGCGACCGTTGGGCTAAGAAGATATCAGGTTAGTGGCAGCTAGAAGAACTTCAAAAGGTTTGCGAACCCGTGGGAACAACGTCTAAAGCCTTGATAGAGATCTTTTCGGGCTGGTCCAACATGTAAAGAGCGGCATGAGCGACGTCCTCTGCGACAAGCGGGCTACTTCATGTCAATATAGAGCACTTAATCTATTTTGGAGGATTCCGTGCTACTTACTCGTAACCCTCAACGAAGGAGCCATACTGGTCTTTATCGAATCCAACACGCTGGGTGTGGAAGTGCGTTGCGACGACACCCGGCCTAAGCGCTAGGACCTTGATATCGGTCTCGGCTAGTTCATTGCGAAGAGAGTTTGTGAAGCCTTCCTGGAAGGCTTTGCTAGCGTGATATACAGCTTCGCCCGGGAATGGCGGAGCTTCGAGCGCGGTGGTGGAAGTGACATTAAGAATGATGCCCTTGCCAGGCTTTTGCCTCATCATGGATCTGTTGAGAACTGAGTGGGTGACAAACATGGTACCGTTGATATTAGTGTTGGACATTGTAATGACATCCTCAATCTCCAGTTCGTTGAACCTGGCGGGAGCTCCAAGGGCAAGACCGGCCTAAGGAATGCGGTTAGTCGGTTTCCTCGCGGCTTCAACAGCACAGAGAATCTGCACATTCATTAGATTGAAGCAGCTGCCCTTACATTGTTGATGAGAATATTGATTTCACCAATCTCCTCAACCGCAGAAGCAATGGCTTTGTCTACATTCTCGAAACTGCCAACATCGGCGGCACGGTAGGTGATCTTAGTGCCAGGGTACGAAGTTGACAACTTTTGAGTTACAACTTCTAATCTGTCCTAAAATTAGGCAGTATTAGTTGAAGTCAAAGTGATTCAAATCAAATTCTCCGATTTGCGACTCAAGAATCTGAGTGGGCTTACCTTTGAACGTGCGAGAAGTACGAGGTTTGCGCCTTTGGCAGCCAGTGCATTGGCAATAGCCTCCCCAATGCCCATTGATGCACCAGTCTGAAACACGTCAGTTCAGGCACGTAAGGTAGAAAAAAGTATTTTGGAATCAATCCGAACCAGTAGGACGGTTTTCCCCTCGAGACCCATTTTGTTGTAACTTAAGTTGAATTAGAAATGTAATAGGGCCACAAAGTCCCGTTTTGTCTCGGGGTGATTAATATCTACGTCGTCTTCGAATGTTCTTGGCTCAAGAGCAGACTGATGGATTCTCAAAAGTGATAATTCCGATGAACCGAGAGGTGCTTTAAACCACCTGAAGATAATATCCCTTTAGAAAAGAAGCATTAGATGAAAACTCCCTGCATAGTAGGTAGTCGCGCTTACAAATGTCACCTACGTCACCGCTCGATAATCACATATGACACAGCTAAACCCCGCTTGGAGACCGGAACGCACAGTGAAAACGGCTTATTAATGCAGGTTAGGTCCCCCATTCTCCACGCCTGGGTTAGTAGTTAGATTAATTGAGTTTTTTGAGAGGTGACACCTATTCTCACCTCACAGGGGTCACGGGCGGATGCAAACCTGATTGGACCATTGCTCATCTTGAGAGTACATGTTTACCTAGTAAATTGGGTGTAAGACTCCATTTTAATCGACAGGTTTCGCCGGTTGAGTCATTGCTCGACTCGCTTGGCTAGAATCCGAGAACAATCCTCCTTGACGATTTCGGTTCGTAAGATCGAGCCCTTTGTTGATTCGGTCTAATTGAATCACCAAGTGGCTCGAGGATGATCTTCTGTGTGATTACAACGCTTTGATTGGTAAGGAACCTCACCATGTCAAGCTTTGGGACAACTCCAAGTCAACCACAGTTAATCCTCATTTTTGTTGATTAACTTGGGCCACTCGGAGCAAAACGTTGAGGTGATCTTGATTGCCCAAACAGACTTGACTGTATCAACTCAAAGCTGAACTATCTTGGTGACCAAGACAATCAAGCCTAAATTCATTTACAAAGCGTCGCGTAGGCCATAACCGCAAAAATGAGAAGAAAGTAAGGCCAGCCAGTACTTAGAATTCCTCGCAAAGTAGCCCATAGGATTAATATTTGAACCTTTTCCGATACGATTGAAAAAAAAAAAAAACCCCGGTTGGGATAATACTCATTGATCTATAAGCAAAGAGTTTCCAAGTATGAGGCAGGCTTGGGATTGGTAAGTCTTCGTGATGGCCGCGAAGAGCTACACGATGATAATCTGCCCTCAATTAAGGTATGAGCTAGATTATTAGGTTTTACAAGGTATCATGGAAGTAGCAGGGAGGTCTCACGTAACGAGCGTGCTGGTCCAGCTGAGATGCGACCTCAGCCTGGCAGTAGTCGAGTCGGAAGGAAACATTTACAGCCAGATTGTGTGGTTCTCAAGTTTGAAGCAGGCGCCTGTGGGGCATCAGCTTAGAATAGATGGGAACAAATTCCGCTTCCTTCTGGAGTATGGCATCCACAGACTTCAGTACATTTCTTGTTCCGTACCACTGAGTTGTATATGTGCCGGCTCAAATCACCCGTATTTGGGGCTTATGTTCATGTGTTTACATGTGGGTTTCCAAAGGGATCAGTCCTGAAAAGATTACTGCTTAGGCGAGAAAAAAAACCAAATCTGGGACTCGAGAAGCTCTTGGCATACAATGAAAACATTTGCGACTTGCTGGGTGGTCATTTCACCCCCAAAGATGTATTGATGGGGGGAAATTGCATGCTTTCTACGCACCTCTAGCGCCCGCATCCCGAAGGACCAGCACATCCATGCATAATATCTGTAGCCATCCTAGGTGGCAAATGTACTATGGTGTCAGGCCAAAGTTTTTTACCCCTGTCGGGTACCTCGGGTCCACATCAATGGTCAGACCATACTAATCTGGGCTTAGGCAACATTTGGGTACTTTTCTTCCCAACTGCTGATTTTTCCCCTCATCAAGGATACCAGCCAAACTACACCATCGCCACCCATCATGGACCGCCGGCCGAAAGATATCCATACAAAGCACTTGACTGAGCAAGACCGTATACGTATACGTACGCTGTATATAGACGCTAGTCTAGGCTCTATAGTAATTGCTCGTCAGACTGGCTTTACAGTAGGCTAAGTCAAGCATGCGATACGGGCTAAGTCTGCAGCTGTTAGTGCCCGCTCTGGCTGCCTACGAGAGCTTAATACACATTAAGAAACCCTTCTCGTTGAGTACGTAACCTCATTAAAGATAGGACGTCGAGTAACCTTTCTGTAATTATCTATTACTCTCTTTAACGTTTGCTTTGGAGTATACGCGATCCGGTTAACCCTCTGCTGCCTAGGCTTTTATCGAAGAGTCGCCTAAAAGAAACCACTAATCTCCAAAGTAAGTTGCTAATAGCGCCTCAGCTGGGCTCAAGAGCATGTCAACTGGACACTCGAGAAATGGAGGACTGTCTTATGGACGGACGAGACCTGGATGACAGGCGGGCATCATCGGAAGCAGTACGTTACTCGCCGGCAAGGAGAGGAATGGGATCCAACTTGCATTATCGAGAAGCATCAACGCAGGCAGGGCTGGATGTTTTGGGGCTGCTTCTCGGGCTCCCAGAAGGGGCCTGGCGTGCTCTGGGAGAAGGACTGGGGCACAATAACAGCTGAGGCCTATTAGCAGCATACTGTCCCTATTATTGACGGCTAGATTCGACTATACTATCAACAATATAGAGATAACCTTATCCTTATGTAAGACGGGGCCCCAAGCCATACAGCACAAGCAACAATCCAAGACTTCAAGGATAGGGGCGTAACTATTATGGAGTGGCCCCCTTATTCGCTAGACTTAAATCCTATTGAGATGTGCTGGAACTGGATGAAGGACTATCTTGAGGAGAAGTATGGGCATATCGAGAAGCCTTCTCGAGATCAGCTGCGGGTATGGGTAAAGGAGGCCTGGGACGCCTTGCCAGATGACTTTTTGTATGACCTATTAGTCTCGATGCCAGATCGCTGTGAGGCAGTGATCAAGGCTAATGGGATGCATACAAAATACTAGGGTAGGCCATAGAGACAGTAATGCTATCTGGATTAGGTCAGCCATCAGCGGCGCAGGGGGTTGCACCAAGTGGGTCGGTACAATAGGGGGATAAAAAACTTACCCATCACACCATAGTAAGGTACAATACAGAGCAGTGCATCTCGGATGGCATGGTTCTGCATGACCCAACCATCATTCTCTGGCTTCTAGAAATACCATGAGTCCCAAAGCCGCTTCTCAGTGCCGATCGCGACCCACTACGCATGTCCCACCTTGTCCAGTCCCCAACGGCATTTCGAGTCGGGAAAAGAATCGTCCCTAGAGAATGAGAAAGTGCCTAGCCGAGGATTTCCGAAGGAACCCAGCAAGTGGGGGAGGGGGAGGAGAACCTCGAGGACGCAGAGACCATCAGAGATTCTTGGCCAAGTAGTTCACCCTTCTCTCTTCGAGAATAACACAACCTTCCAAGATGGCACTGGTAACGCTCGAAATGGCAGTAACCAGGAGAGAAACCGAGACTCAAGGCCATCGCCAAGTCGTGCATTTCGCTTCATCTGCGCAAATCAGATTCATTCAGCAAACCCGGAAGTGGAGTGAGGACAAAGAACAAAAGACACGCGGGGTTCATCCAGTCACCAAAGTACCGCGATTTTCTACCGAATCAACTTGGACAGATATCAATTTCTAATTCGTGCGGAGAAAACTGGGCCTTCTATGGGCCACATTTTTGCACTGACGCCATTCGTAGTGCGTTGCATGCCTGCAATGCGTGATACACGGAAAACAGAAACCTCCGGTTTGCGGAGTGAGATGCGCCCCCAAACCATTATCCCCAGCTGCTGTATACACAAAATTCCTCATCGCTGAGTGTAACAAAAAATGACGGAACAAATCTTATGCCAAAGACAGCCTAGAATTTGTTCTGGTTGGCGTTCTCCATGAGCATCTTGGAATCCGGCTTGTACTTCTTGGACACTAGGCGAACGTTGTACTCGACGTCGAGAGTGGCGCCCTTGGGCTCGTTTTCAACAGGCTTGAAGTCGAGCAGCAGGTCAGGCTTGACGGCGCAGGCGGTGTCGGTCTCCAGGTAGGGGTCGTCGTTAGGGTAGAGTTGAGCCGTGACGCCGATGAAGTCCGGGTGGGTGACCATGATGTGGATGTGCGCGGGTCGGTAGGGATGGCGGCCCATGAGACGGAGCAGCTCGGCCGAGGGGCCGGAGGTGTCAATGGCGTACTCGGTCGGCTTGAGGCAGTAGAACCAGAACTTGCCCTCCTCGTCCGTCTTGAACTTCCCGCGGAGGTTGTGGCGCGTCTGGTTTTCAAGGTCGAAAACGTCGTACTTGCCATTGGTGCTGGCCTGCCACATGTCGAAGACGGCTCCTGGGATGCCCTTGCCCGTCTCAGCGTCCTTGATGACACCGTGGAAGAAAGTGAGCTGGCCATCCTTGGGCATGTTTTGGACGACGGAGGCGCCAAGGTCGCGGAAGGGGGTTTCGGGGGACCAGAAGGGTCCAAGGATTGTCGAGGATGTGGGGGCGACGCCAGAGTCGGTTTCGACAGTGTGGTTGATCTCATCGACGAGACTGAATGCGGGGGATAAAATATTAGCCATTGGTCGGGTGATCACAAAAAGAGTGCTGCTACCGGCAGAGCGGCGCGGGGTAACGATTGTCGATTTGGGGGAGGGAGGTGAGGCTGGGGGGCGTAACTCACGACTCAATGCCCAGAATGTCACAGACTCTCCATGCCTCATTGCGGTTCTTCTGGTAGGCCTGGCCAATAGAGTTGATGTAGTTGACACCGAGGACCCATTCCTCTTGTGTGAGCTCAACGTCTCTGCAGAAGTCGTGCAGGTGCTTGATCAAAGAGCCGAGGACCTGTCTGTGTCTGGGCTTCGTCTCGGGGCTCATGAGGTCGATGACATGTTGTGTGAAGTTGGGGTCGAATTTGCTCTTCTTGCCGTCGACTCCGTTGGCGCCGTTCGTTCCGTTCGTGGCCATTGTGAGAATGTTTCAAGGGGAGATTTATGGAAATGATTGGGCTCAGGGTATCTTGTTGAAGTTACAGGAGTAAGACGCTGCGATTGAGACGAGAAGCAGGGAGAGCACTTGGAGATCAAAAATACAAGAGTGAGAACACTAGATGCGAACGAAGAGGAGGACCCTGACATTAAGTACGCATTCCGAGCTCCGGATCTAGGGGCCACGAGCCATGAATTGTGGGCATGAATCGTATGACCACCGTAGATACGGCAACAATGTGCGGCATCGAGTGCGGCATCAGAGTTCGGCAATTTGACTAGGGGTAACCGTCCCTTGGGGTTACGGGGTAAACTTTCGCGCCTCGCTCAATGTGCCCCGCGGTCGACCTTCCCAGTCTCCCCCGCCACAGCTCCCTTTGCACGCCTCGTCCACCTACGGGAGAAACAAAGACCCGGAACCAGGAGGTGGTGGTGGTATGGGTAAGTGTAATTCCCACGCCTGGCAGCCGAAATGCGGGGGAGTCCGTGAGAGCATGCGGGGTGATTCCGAAAGGGGACATGGCGCGGGCTGGGTTGATGTCTGTGACTGGCTAGCTGCTGGGAACGTATGGGGCTGATCTTTGGCCAATACCAAAAGGTTGAAATTCCGGTCGCTGCTCGCTGACGGATCCATCCTTCGTGATTGGCAACGGAACGCTTCAACCTGTCAGGCGACGTCGGTTCTGGATTCTGCCGGGTTCTTGACTCTTCTCTCCCATCGTTCGATTACCGACTTTTTATCGCGTCAAATCAGCTCACTCTCGAGGCAAGGCAGCTGGAGTAGGTAGGTCTGGGCCGCTGATTGGAAAGACGGAGATTGTTAGTCAGCGAAAAATTGCTAAGAGCTGTTCAGAACATCTCAACCAAGCGACGGTGCACCAAGCTCTACACTGATACAGGTGAATCCAACTGACTGATGTACGTGCAACAGTGCAGGGTCAGCCAGGATTTAGTCCGCGCATTGCCAGGCTCCTTAGCATGCCTCACCCCATGGGCGTAGGCTAGGAGCATTTGACACGAGGGACTTCTCGAGCCTGATAGTGTCGAGGACCTGCTGGGAAAATGTGTTGATCGCCTCGACGCTTGGATTGAACTAGAAGTTCATCCGCCTGTACACGTCTACAACACCCAAACTCTTGACGTATTTGCCAGTTTTTGGACCCTCATGCCTTATATCGACAGCTGGACGCGGTTTGATAATTAAATAACTACTCAGCTTAAACCCATCATCCGAAGTCCATTCCTTCGTCATAACGAAGCTGAGGTGAGCTTCGTACAGAGCCTCAACTTCGACAGTGGAGAACAAAGTGCCGAACGCCAGCTCCATATTGCAAGGGGCGCCAAGACCAGATTTGGTGTTTAGTTTACGCCCAACCTCTGAACGAATCATGAGAAGTGTTGAGTGCGTTGCCTGGGGTGTTCCATAGTCTGCTGTCCAGTCTAGACTTATGAGTGCAAATATTTCGATGCGCTCGTAGATAAAAGTCCAAGCTCTTCTAATAGAGAAAAGGCGAGCGGTGTTCGATTCGCCCTGGCGCTGCTCCTCGACCCGGCTAACACGGTCGCGGCGCGCTTAGGCCTAGGCGGGATTATAATACAAGTTGTCCGCACGCACTAAACACACAAGACGGTTGTGTGGGCCATGTCCCAATCACGACAGTCATAGAAACAGCCCTGGTTCATGTAGGCGCATGTAGAACTAGACTGCGATCTTGAAGAATGCCAGGGTTACGTCGCAAATGGTAGACGACGAGAGACGTGGTGGAACCACACCTATGGAGCCGGGGCGCAAACGAGACTGCCTCCCAGGGCGCCGCTAGCACTGGCTGGGGTGTCACCGTACTAGACTATAGATGGTCCGGCGAACATAACGACCCCGTGCCACTGGTCAACAAGGGCGCCGAGCGTATTCATGACAGGAGGAGTCGTGGCCAGTGAGTACCGCGGAGTCTACTCAGATCGTCGCGACTCGAACAGAAGCGCCAAATACTATCAGTCAATTGTAATATCGGCGGGAATAGCATTGTCTCCCCTGAGCTGTACCTTTTTGGAGAGTTTCCAGCATCACCGTCATTATATGTCTGGTAGGCAATCATATCCGCAGGAATTCGCCTATCGGCTCACGTCACGATTGGCTTTCCATCATCGGCCACGTCGCTATCAGCATGAGGCTGACGGCCAAATGTGCTGACGCCTACTGGCATATGCTCGTCGCATGCAAGTCCTTGCGTCCGATAAGACTCAACAGGGAAGGCGCCGCTACAACGATGACGCGCGAGATGGGATAGTTGAACGCTGAAAAGGCTGTCTCCTAGCGGACTTTGGCCCAGAAAAAGATACCCACGATGCCCATGACAGAATTGAAGGTGCACGGCGCATTGGTCTCGTATTCCGTAGCGTCGAGGGCAAGGATCTCGCTGAAGATCTCCAGGCCTCAACTCTCGATGCAGAGAACAGCCGCGGATGCACGCGGTCCCGCTTGATCAATCTCTGCGTCGGTGAAAGCTAAACGATGGAGACTTGGAGCCGGTAGTGAAATGGAAGCGGGTATATTAGGTAGTGTCCCGTCGGACAGCAGACCAAAGTCGAGCATCCCTAGACGCAGAGGCGACTCGTATAGGTGAAGAAGCACGACAGTACCCTCGCACCACGATTCAGGCACTTCGCAGCGGCGTCGCGACTTTAGGAATCTCGTACTTGTCAAATGAGGCCCACAACCGCACGATGGCATGTTCATTCAACTTGCTATGTGTTTCTCGACTTCAGGACTTTGGTCAACTTTGGCGAAACTTTTGATGAGTCAGGTGGCGGACTGGTCGTTCAACCCCATCGCAAACGTGGACAGTAGCTAAAGTTTGTTCCATTGACAGGTTTGCGATATTATTGGGGTCGGTAAAATGTGTGCAGTTCCAATGCTGAAATCAGGGTATTGTAAGAGTAGAAAAATAAAACCAACTACAAAATTTATCCCGCAATTCTTTCCAAATCAAGATTCACAAGAGTGGCTGTTTTTTTCCTTTCCAGTTGACCTGGTAACATTACCTCGTACAGGCGGAGAGGCTTGTGGCCGTGTTCCAACACTCGATGGGTACTGTGACGCCCATCAAAACCTCTTTTTTACACAGTGGAGTGTCCGAATCACGATGCATCAATCATAATGCGTTTTGTCACCTTCTGCCTGCGACAACCGCTGGGATCGTCTCTGAACATTTGATTTCAGAGTCTTGTATCGAAATGTTTAGGCTGGTAGAGGGGTGAGTGCCTGCTGCGATAATTGGTTCATGGGGGCGGCTCTCTGCCGAACCAACTACCTGGTTTGGCTGCACTTTTAGGATTCCAGACTTTGCGCATCAATTCAACGCACGTTTTGCTTCTTCAGCAGTAGGATCAGCTCCGCTTACTTCAGCTAGGCATTGAGACCTGCCCCAAAAAGCTTCCAATGGTAGTATCCCGGGGCTCAATCGTAGCCGCTGACTGGACAACATCGGCTATACCGGCAAATATATAAGATCTGCTGCGGGTCCTCAAATTTCGATGGGGGCGGATAACGGTCACGCTAGACAACAAAGGGAAGCTCGGTCTTAATGGTCATGCATGTTGAGCCCTCCCACGTGCTGGGGCAATCTTGTTCTTTGGTCAATAGCAAGATAGTGATGCAATTTTGTTCGCTCACGGATATGATTTGCCGCGTCAGCGCGGTAGTGAGAAGAAGACCATGTGCAGAAAAGGCTTGGTTACGCGGGAACGCGTCTCTTTAAAAGCTTGGCAGTATGCACGGAAGCCGCTTGTATTTGCTGGTGGTAGGGTCACAGCTGTCCGACCGCTGCATCAGTCGTTTCCTTGGCCAGTATTCCCAATTGCCTCAAGATGCGTCTCGGAAACTGCTCATTGGCTTTGCTTGCCCTCGCTTTTGGCACCCCAGCCGCCCTGGCTTGCGAAAGCTGCGAGCACCCCGAGCGGGACGTCGTATTGACCCGAAATGTCCGCCGTGCGCAACCTGATGCTCAAGCAGCCGTGGACGAACCTCGTGGGCCTCTATCATGGGGTCAACTGAACTTTCTTCACACCACTGGTATTCCTAACCTGTACAACGGTCGAGTAACGTCACAAGTTTATGCTGACAAGAAGTGATGCAGATACTCACGGATGGTCAGGCCCCCTTTTCATTTCCGGAGGCTTCCATACTAATTAGACTCAACTGCGTAGGCTTGAAGGCCATATCCGAGAGCAGAACTATGGCGCCGATTGGGGTGATTTTGTGAGCTTCGTCAAGCACATGCGTCAGAAAGCCCATGACCTGGATGTTGATTTGTTGGTGGTTGACACTGGGGTACGATCGCCCGGAACTCTTCTTCAATCCGACCATACTGATCAAGCCAGGATTTGCATGATGGCGCTGGACTCAGCGATGCTACCGGTGTTTCGTCCTATGCGAACGGTACCGGTGTCAATGGCCAGCTATCAAACCCCATTTTCGAGAATATCGATTACGATGTAATGGCCATTGGAAACCACGAGTTGTATTTGTCCACCATCGCATATGAGACCTTCAACCAGTTTGCCAAGGTCTACGGCGATAGATACTTGACGAGCAATGTACAGATCCGCAATCCCAGCACTGGAGTGCTCGAATACATTGGCAAGCAGTACAGATACTTCACTACCCCGAAAGGTATGCTTTACGAGTATATATGCGCTCTTTGTCCAAGACTTTGGCTCAAATAATTTTTTTCCCAGGCCTTAGAATCATGGCTTTCGGCGTCCTTTTCGATTTCACCGGCAACTCCAATGTTTCGGTTGTCACCAAGGCCGCCACCATGGTCACACAGCCCTGGTTTCTCAATGCCGTCAACTATATGGAGCCGATTGACCTCTTCCTGGTCATCGGTCACAATCCCGTCCGGCAGACGCAAAGCAGCAGCACCCTTAAGACCGTTTTTGACGCAATTAGGGCAATCAAACCCGACACACCTGTCCAGTTTTTCGGAGGTCACACTCACATCCGCGACTTTGCAGTATATGACGATAAGTCCACTGGTCTTGAATCTGGAAGGTATTGCGAGACTGTAGGCTGGCTGTCTATGACTGGTGTCCAGTCCAGCAACTACAAGGGCGTGCTGTATCCCAAGGGCGTGGCTCATCCTTCTCAAAAGGCGATCAGTGTGGCAACGAAGACTGCTTCTTCTAGCCTTCCATTGTCTACTGGCGATTCTTCTATCACCTATTTTCGCCGCTACCTGGACTGGTAAGATAAACCAGGCATTGGATGTGTAGCTAGCTGACAGCATTCTCAGGAACACTCTGACATTCGAATACCATGCAGTTGGTAGCCAGGGCAAGGCATTCAACACATCCAAGGGACTTAGCGTGTCCCAGAATATCACTGCAACCCGCAAGAAGCTGAATCTAACCTCTCTGTATGGCTGTGCGCCTCAGACTTGGTGCATCGACTGTGCACCTTTCATGTCAAATGCATCCATCTTCTCTTTAACAACCGCAGCTCTCGCAGACACAATTGTTACTGAGGAAAGAGCATCGACACCGAGAGTTATCATCGCCAATACTGGGCACATCCGTTTCGACCTTGCTCAGGGACCGTTCGACTACGACTCATCATTCATCGTCTCCCCGTTCACCGACGGGTTCCAGTACATCCCTGATGTCGCCTGGTCCTTCGCCCGCCAGGTGACCGATGGTTTGGAGTCAGGGAATTATCCCTCGAAGAGAAAGCGCTCTCTGACTGCCAGCTCGTTGGGATTCAGTCAGGTGAACCCAGCCTTGTCGACCGTGGAGAGCTGTATCGACCCGCCTGTGACGAATGATCATTTCTCGAAGCGTTCTTACGCCGGGGGTCGCATTGTCCGTCGACAGACCATCACCCCAGGTTACACCACGAGTGACGATTTCGGCACCGACGGAGACGACACCGTTCACAGCGAGATACCGACATATAATTACCCCGACTTTTTCCAGGCTAATGGCAGTTTCCCTGACGACGGGTCGCTTTCGGACGAAACCAAGGTCGACCTAATCTTCCTTGACTACGTCGCAGGTTCAGTGGTTTCGGTTTTGCGCTCTCTAGGAGTGAATTATACCTCCGACGATGTTTCCTACTACCTACCAAGTGTGAGTGGACCAAACGTGACTTTCTTTTAGTGGCAACTACAGTCTTGAAGCTCGCATCCCAAGGCTCAATTGCAGATGGCACAAACGGTGTAAAGGCTGAAGATATTATTGCTCTTGCTGCCTACTGTGACAAGATTTTACTTCGAATCGCTCTCTTGCAGGATACAAAAAGCTGACCAGTTTCAGTCATTCACGACCAACTCGTATTTGCCAGAGTTCGCAAAGAACAATGCGGCATGGCAAGCTAGCATGCCAAACTGTCCGGTTGGGTTAGGAATCGGGTACAACACGACGACCGCTTGAAACTACTAGCTGTTAAAGCTACTGATGAACGAGTTAAGAATGATATGAGATCATATGGTCGAATCTTATCATTCACTTTGAAAGTAACGGATGTCTGCTTTGCAGTGCGCGAAATAGATGTAAAGGATGTATACTAGTGAACTTTCTCCTGGCTCAGAGTATAGTCTAAAGAAAATAACATGATTCCTATAAATTCCCGGAAATAGTCATTCTCTTACCTCACGAACAAGTAATATTCCTGTCCACTTTTCACACCAAGCGCTACAACTTAGATCGATACGCATCAAACAACAAACTGTTCCCATCTTAGTGCCAAGAACACCCTGTTTAACGACAACCTTCTCTTAGCTAAAGTAGCTTTATACTTAAAATGTTGAATGGATTCTCTCTTCCTGAGAGAACCCGTTTGTACGATTGTACTCGGGTTAAAGTTAAGGTGAACCAAAGATATATTTTCCGTGATTATCTTCTTAACTACAAGACTTGGCTTTTTGTACATAAGGTATATGATCTTGTATGTCCCTAAGTCAGTTCAGCATGAATATACTTTTGATCCCCTTAATGGTTAACCGAGAGCCGAATATCTAGTCTATGCCCTTTGCTATGATGTGTGTCCTTGAGTTGTGTGTGTCGTATAACCAGCTAGTGCTGTTATTCTAACACTCACAACTTTTTCTTTTATAACTATATGACTCCCTGTAGTATCTAATCAGGTTACACTAATTATGATATTAATAACCTTATTATATAACCCTATAAGTTAAGCTACTTACATTATATAATAAATCACTAATATTAAAACTCTAAGCAACTATCTATTCTCTTTTTACTTAGTTAAATAGGTAAGTTATATATTAATAAAGTTCTTTTTTTCCTTATTAATTTTATTTCTACTTTTACTATTAATATAATTTTTTTTTTTTTATATAATAACTTTAAGTATTTAAAACTTTTTTTATTTATTTTTTTTTTATTTTTTTTTTATCCTTTATATATATTATTTTTTTATATAATTAATTAATAATAATTTTTCTTTTTTTCTTTAATTAACTTTAATAATAACTACTTATATATAAGATTTCTTTTTATATATTTCTTTTTATTAATTTATTAATAATACCTTATATAATTAATTTATTATATTTTTTATTACTACTAGTAGTTTAATTTTTAGTAATATTAGTATATATACTAATATATTTAGTAGTTATTAGCTTTATCTTTTAACTAGTAACATTAATAATTATGCTTTTTTATTAGCTTTAGCTATTAATATATATTACTTTTATTTTTACTTTATCTTTATATATTAACCTTAACTATAAAATAAGGAGTATCTTATTATTAACATACTATTACGTAATATTAAGATCTATATCACTAGTAACACTTCTGTCTAGCAGTTTATTACCAGTATTATCTACTGCTAAGACTACTTTCTTGTAGTCTTAGTTTAGTCTTATAGTTATATAGCTATTGTTTATAGCAATAAATACGTAACTATTAACTCCCTGCGCTTCCGCTAATATACCTGTATTCCTACCTTTCAGGGTAATACCTGCGCCAAGTGCGTCTAGTAGTCGCATAGCGCTTACTGTACCCACTATAGTCAAGATGTTGATTTGTCTAATAACCTGGGCAATAATGATAACGATGATAACAACAGTAGCCTTAGCAACTACAAGGCTCTTAACGTTATTAATGCTTATAAGCCTTATACGCTTAGTAATAAGCTTAGCAAGAACATTAGCAAGGGTAGTCGCTTTCTTAGCACTTCTGCTAGCCTTATAGTTATTAACAAAAAGTAATTATATAACTTCTTTTTCTTAAAATCTTATATAATAATTAAATAAATTATATAATATAGTAATTTAAAAAGGTTATAGATATAATAGAAGTATAATCTAATATTAAGATTAAAATTAGTAGTAGTTAAGTATATTAGATATCTTTTTAAGGTTATACCTTATTTTTAGATAATTAATAATATATAGTAGTAAAGTTATATAAATTAATTATTAAGTATTTTCTTTTAATTTTTTAATATATACTTTAATTTAAATCTTTAATATATTTATTATAATTAATTATTTAAGTACTAAATTTAGTGATTTCTTAGTAAAAGTATTAATAAGGTTATTTTTTCTATTAATCTATTTTACTTCTAAAATCTTTTTCTTTTTATATAACTTATATAGACTTATAATATTAATTATAAGCCTCTTTTTATCTATTATACTTAATTATATAAGGTACTTATATAGAGATTATAAGTCTAAATAGATAATAACTAGAATCCTTAGAAGTTATAATATATAAAGGATCTTAGTAAGTATTATACTAAGAGATATCTTATTATTAAATCTTATAGTTATCTTATATAACTTACTTATAAGTATACTTTATATAATTCTCTTATATTTTATTAAACTCTAGTATATAATATTTCTTTTAATCTAAAAGTCTATTATTATATAAGCTATTTTTTTAGCTAGTATAATAATAAATCTAAGTTATAATAATAAATCTAAGTTATTTATAAATAATTTATCTATAAAGATATATATTTTTATATAATAGAGATTAAGAAGAATATATACAAGACTTTATATAGAGTTATTAATTTACTACTAAAGTTATATATTTAAAGCTTTAATATTCTTCTTATTAGGTTCCTTAGTTTAAGCTATAGTTAATAAGTTATATAATACCTTTAGTTAATAAATAGATATAAGGTATACTTCTTTTACCCTTTAAGAAATATACTACTAATATATATTATATATATTAAAATTAATAAGTTTTAGGTGTTTTATTTAGCCTTTTTAAGTAAAAGTAATATAGTTATTATATAATTAAATTTTTCTTTTATTAAAGTTAATTTTATTATTAAGTAATAAGGTAGTCTTTAGTTTTATATAAAGTCCTTTTTTTCTTAGCTTTTCTTTTTTTTTCTAAGAAAAAGTAAGTATAGTAAAGCTAAGTGTATTATTTGTCTATATAGCTATAATCCTAAAGGTATCTAGTCCTTCTATTATATATAGTAAGTATAGATTATATATTAACTTTATTATCTTTAGATCTTTCTTATAATACTTAGAATAGGTTTTATACTAGTATAGGCTTAACTTTACTAGGTTATATAGTAGTTTTAAGATATAGAGAAGTATATTCTTAAGGTATTTATCTTTTAACTCCTTAGGTAGTTATATAATAATTGTCCTAGTTAAACGATTATCTAATTATATATATACCTAAGTTATGTCTCTAAGTTCTTTTTTGTATTTATAGTTTTATATAAGGGTAGGTCTAATTGTAAGTATAAGCCTTTAGCTTATTTATTAGATAGTAGGTACCTAGGTTAAGAGTTCTTCTTTCTCCTAGTCCTTATACCTTTATATAATAAGTCTTAACTTCTTATATAGCTTAGATAATAAGTTCTTAATCTTTTATATTATTTATATCTTATAAATATAAAAATAGTTATGCTTTTTTAGATTATATAGTATAAAAATAAAAACTCCTTAGTTAATAAGGTTATTTATTTTTATTTAGTTTAACTTTTTATATAAAGTACTTAACGTATATGCATAGCGAGTCGCCCATCATAGCGAGCCGCCCACCTTTCACTACCCTCCAGCCATTTGTGTAAGTCAATTAAGCCACATCGTACGAAATCAATTGAAACTACTCATCAGCCTCTTCTTCAGAGGTCTCCCAAACTACCTGACATGTTCGTACATTATGTCCAGTCTTTCCGCAGTTACCACATCGCCGCCCGCGCGATTCACCCCCCTCCGTACGAGCACCCTCTTGACGCATGTTTTCGCCTCCAGCATCAACAACCCCCTTTTCTACCCGTATTGCCTCAGCTTCAGCTGTATTAAGTGACCCTCCAAGACGTAGTTGGGTTTTCTTAGCTCTCCGGCGCTTACTTAGTATCTCATTTGCCGTACGAAGCCCGCGGCACTCGGCTTCAACAAGAGCTAGTTTGTGTGCTAACTTGCTAATACCTTTAGCTTGCAAATCAACAACCTCGTACAAATGAGTTGGTGAGCTATCTTGATGACTAGTGATTCTTTTCTTAAGTGAAGCAGAGCTTCGTACGGCGTCATGTGCTGTGGTTGGTGTCTTTGGGTCCCAGGAGCCCTGGCTGCTTGGGCATGAGTTGGATGGTGTTGGCGTCTTTGGCTTGAAATCCAGGCGGGAAAGAACTGCTTCTGGGTCGAATGGTACAAGGCCAGCCTGTCTAAAACCAGCTTGTACGTTTTCTTTGCTTATTGAAGTAAAAAAGGCTGCCTTGAAGGCAGGAAAGAAATCATCCTTAGTAATGTGCGTAATCTGCATCCGCATCATCTTCTCGATTTCCTTGCCATATGAAGCCTTCAGCGGACTAAAACAGCCAACATCAAGAGGCTGAAGCTCGTGCGATGAATGCGGAGGCATGCAAAGAGCAATAATGCCGTGTTCCTTGCAGTAATCGTCAAACTTGGTGGATTTGTGGCTGTTGTGGCCATCAAGGATTAGGAGCCGTTTAACACCCTTCGTGCGAGACTTTGTGCACTTTTCAAAATGTTTTAGCCAATCTAGGCCAATCTCATTTGTAGTCCATCCATTTTCGCTAGGGTGGACGCGCCATTCGGGTGGGAATTGGCCATTGGTATACCATGAGAGTAGGTGATATTTGCCCTTAACAATGACGTATGGAGGCAGCGCCCAGCCATCTG